AGAACTACTATAAGAAGATCGAAAAGGACGATGCCCAAAGTCGTGCCATCAGTTACAAATACAAAGACCCAGAAAACTTTGAATTGGGTATTTGTGTGCCAGCTTCCTGCTCACCGGCCAAGGCCAATGTAATCTTAAAACGGGTCATTAAGAAATTCTACAATCAAGATGTTCAAGGCGACTTGGTCAGTGAGAAATATTGTGACATCGATGAACCAATTACCTTGCGTGGTATTGATATCTTTGCCATGTAAGTTTGATTATTTTAACATGGATTATGGAAAGATTAATGACTATAATAATTTGCTTCTCCCTTATAGTATCTTCTTTGCATTCATTATTTTCTGTATGTTGGCCAGTTCCATTTACGATTATGTTAAGACCAAGAAAGGAGGTAAGAAAATGCCTTGACAAAAAAAAGGATTTTTAATAATTTCATGTATTCATTTTACAGAACCCAAATCCCCATTGTACCTGTCCTTCTCCGTCCTTACCAACGCCCCCAAAATCTTCACTGTTAAGAAGGTCAATAACCCCAATGTTATCCACTGTCTTAACGGCTTGCGTTGCTTCTCCATGATGTGGGTCGTTTTCGGTCATGGTTATATGACCTTCTACGATTTGCCCCATATCAATAGAAACAAATTCTACACTGTAAGTCAATGGATTTGAGTTTTAAGAATTTTTTTCGATACAAATTAAATTAATATGCATGATTTGTTTGTTATTACAGTGGACCCAAACTCCTTACTCTATGTTGGTACAAAATGCTACACTTTGTGTAGATACTTTCTTCTTCATGTCCGGTCTGTTGATGTTGTGGGGTGCCTTCCGTGAAATGGAAAAGACGTAAGTTGATACGATATTTATAGTCAATCAATACCATCTGTAAATAACTAAAATAATCAAATTATTGCCTGATATTCACATCTCTCACAAAAGACCTAATTTTTAATCGTACAAACCTATTATTATTAATGTTATTAGGAAGCATCTAAATCTCAGATTTTTGAAAATCTTGATCTTCCTTAAATCTTGATCGTTTCATAAATCTTGATCAAGATCGTCCATGACAAAAAAAATTAATATTTTTTTTAATATTTGTATTTCATCCACAGCAAGGGTAAATTGGACATTAAACTCATGTACTTCCATCGTTACATTCGTTTGACCCCTGTTGTTGCCGTCGTTGTTTTGTACATTATGTCCTTGTACAAATACTCTGGTGCCGGTCCCATGTGGATGAAACTCGGTACTCAGGACAAACGTTGCGAAGAATCATGGTGGGCTACATTGTTGTATGTCCAAAACTATGCTTTCCCCTACAGCATTGTAAGTAAAATTGTCACACACACACCTCTATATATATATAAAAATAATATCGTCTAACCCTATTTTGTTTCCATTATAACTTTTTAGTGCATCAGTCAGTCTTGGTATTTGGCCGTCGATACTCAGCTGTATGTGCTGTCACCACTTTTCCTCATTCCCCTGTGGAAGTGGGGTAAGAAGGCTGTTGCACCCATCGCTGTATTCGGTGTCCTCTGCATGGGTTGTACGTTTGCCACGTTCATGCACAACAACTTCACTCTCTTCCGTGTCGATGATAATCAAGTCGATTTACGTCAACGTCTTACCTACTATCCAACACATACCCGTATTCCAACATGGTTGATGGGTGTACTCTTCGGTTACTTCTTGTTCACCAAGAATCGCGGCCGTCAAATACCATTGAAGAAGGGTTGGGTTATCACTGGCTGGGTTTTGGCTCTCGGTGTTATGCTTACCGATTTGTGGGGTCCATACTGGCGCATTTTGCCCGAAAACCCCGATGCTCCCATTATTGAAGGTGCCTTCTATGAACCCTTGTCCCGTGCCTCGTGGGCTTGTGCCATTGGCTGGATTGTATGGGCCTGTTATAACGGCCATGGTGGCATTATCAATGACTTCTTGTCCTGGGGATTCTTCACCGGTTTCAGTCGCTTGACCTACTGCATGTATGTTATCCACAGAATTGTCCAATGGGTCACCGCTGGTCGCTTACAAACCGACACTCACTTCTCCGATTACGATATGGTTCGTATTGCAACTTGCTGCATAGCTAAAATGTAAACTAATGATTGTCTCTGTTATATTTCCTTTTAGGTTCTCCGTTGGTGGCACGATTTCGGTATTACTTTGTGCGCTTCAATCTTTGCCACTTTGGCCTTTGAATCTCCCATTTTGGGCATTGAAAAGGCCATCTTCGGTCGTGGTGAAACCAAACCAGCACCCAAGAAAATCGAACCAACCACCACAGTTGCCCCCGAACCAGTTCCCGCTGAGACCACAGCTGCTGAAACTGTTGCCAAGGCTTAATTTCACTACAGTCATTCATCTAGTCTCCTAAACTCATAAAATCCCTACCAAAATAAATTGGCTAGAAAATACATCAAATAACGTCCCAAAGATTTTAAAAAACATACATTTTAATTTATTACAAACCAAGTTATATATTCTTGATATTGTTATCTTCGTATTGATTACGAGCGTATCAAAAGTAGGCAATAATCTAAATATATATGAATATTTATTAAACAGATAAAATATTGTAATATTCATTAAACGTTGGATTTAAGGCCTGTGTACATATGAATGAACGTGTAAAATTTTGTTGGTGTATGTACTATAGAAAATCCGGGAACTTGCAAGACTTTTAGCTGAAAAAAGAAAATCTGAATTCTAAGCCAGTAAGGAAAGATCAAAAGCCGGACGGGCCGACTATATGATGCCCTACACCACCATGCATATTTAGTACAGCTTCCGTAAAAAATATATTGGGAATTTAACTGAAGTAGGTCATACCAACTATGATCCAAATAACATTGCTGTATAGTGCATGATACGACTTCGATAGGGATTAAATTAAGAAATATTTATTGGAGCAATAGATATACCGGACCGGGTTTCGTAAAATTCGGTCGAATATGAAAAAATCTATTCTATTTGTAACCTTAAGATCGGATGAAGATGTTAATCGAAGCTATAAAAAATCTGAACCGATCTTTGGCAGAGGTATTTTAGAGCAGTATCTCATGCCCGGTATCAAATATCATTGTTGAGGAGTGCATATTATGCATATGAGGGACTTTAACAAAAAATTGGATGAAACATATATATGGGAGCTATAGCTATATCTGAACCGATTTTCGCCCAATTCTGCCCTTTGGGCTGATATTAGCCATTTGGTGCACAAAAAACCTGAACTCGGATAAATATATATATGGGAGCTATATCCAAATATGAACCGATCTCGACAAAATTGTAAACACTTATTTGAACACGATGATTTCAAGCAAAAATTCCAAATTTTCATTTTCCTCATATTTTCGCGATAATATTTATTATATTATGATGTCACGACCATCGGCTGTTATGGCGGCCCACACCATCGCTATGGCCGGCGCTTGAGTTTTAGTGGTCAGCCGAAAGTGCAAATTTTCAGCTGACTTCTTTGACAAATAAACACTATCATTTTGTTTGTTTACAAACTGCTGGACAACGAATGTTTTCTCATTGGAGGAAACAAAATTCGGCAGTTCACCATATTTGGCCAGCGAAGCAACTTTTTAGCTCTTTTGAGTCTATTTTCTTTCTGTTGCGGTGTAAGTTCTTGCACTTTTTGGAATTTCAATGGCTTTACTCCGAGCTTATTTTTCAATATTTGCCGAATGGAATATTGCGATATGTTCAGCTCACGATCCATTTTTCTGCCACTACGACGCGGGTATCGATCAAGTTACTTCTTTACTTTTCGAACCATTTCTGCTGATGTTCCGTCCACTTCTTTTACGTCGAGCTACGCTACCAGTATCACTGTACGAGACACGAAAGATTTATTCACATCTAAATGTTGGAGTGCTCTAACGATAGCCACTTGTGGTTTTCCAGCCAAATATAAAGAAAGCACACTATCACGCTTAAATTCCATTACGAATAACTTTTTTTGAAAAATTCTCACCAAAGTGCTTTTGTACGCTGGTAAACAATATAATGAGCTGTCACTGGAATAATTGTAACAGCGGTGGGGCGATTGGCTTAGAAATAAAAGCAGTCTGAAGTTGGTTGCAGTTTTTTAATATCACCCTGTATATATATGGGAGCTATATCACAATGTGATCCGATCTCGATAAAATTTGACAGAGGTATTTGAACATTTGGTGATATTGGCCGAAATCGGTTGATGATATATTTAGAAGCTGTATCCAAATTTGAACCGATTCTCACCAATTTCACCAAATATTGTTTGCAAAATTTCATCTCAATAAGACATAATACCCTTACCACTATGTGGTGTAGAGTATAAAAATGGTAGTTTTAGTAGTACTTCTGTAGACAAAAATATGACAATAGGTCTGTATGACAACTCGATCATTTTTTCTAACTTAATGTCTCAGCCAGAATTTATAATTCTCAGTAAGTCACTAATGTAAATCCCAATTACTTTATTGTGTTTTGAGGAAATACACATGCATACATATTCAACAACGGATTATGAAGAAATAAAAGAGTGTTCTAAAAGTGTGCTCCCACTATGAAACGAGCAACACATGCTCTATCTTATTCGAGCTACAACGAAAAATAGACTACGCTCGATTTTCTACTCCTTTTAGCCTTTACACTTTTAAATATAGGATGCAAAATGGTATAACCGCCATAACATTTATAACTTCAACTTTGCGCAAATATAAGTTTTGTAATTAATATTCATTACGAAACAATGACTTATTAAGTATTTAAATATTATGTGTATTTGCATATGAAATAATTTGAAAATTCGGGTTTGTGTAATTTTTGAAGCACATATTAATAGAACCCCTTAACTTCACACTTATCCATTTTCTATTTAGTACTTCCGATTTAGTTTGTGTAATTTTTAAAGAAGGCATAAAAGGAACCCCTAACTTTAAACTTATCCATTTTCTACTTAATACTTCCGATTTAGTTAATAACACCTTGACTTTTACAAAATGTATACAATTTTTTATTTCTAATTTAACAGATCGCATACGAAAAATACACAACAATTAAATAACATTTAAAAATTTATATTCACTCTTTATCTTCGACATAATAAATCTTGATTACAGATTTGTAAATTTTAAAAATACATTTGTATAAGGCCCTGCCAATTTTTTCAATAACTACTAGTGGATAAGGCATTATTTATACTGTTGATTGCAATTATATATAGGACTGCAATTGGGGCAAATACTTTTGTAAAAACCAGCCGTCCCACACTGATGGCATCGGGATGAGGGTGTATTGCTATTTCGAAGTTTGGCAGCTAATAGTTTACTTGGGCACGGACCATTTATTGGTGCTATCAGCTTGGTGGTTAATGATGCTGTGGGAGTTGGCGGGTTCGAGGTCATTATGGTGATGTGAGATGTAGCTTGAGACATTGATACATTATTTTGTGTGACGGTGGGAATAGATGTTGCAGCAACAGTAGTGGTAATTGTGGGAGATACCATAGTGGCTGTACTAGTCACAGTATACGTTAATGAGGTAGGCACGTTGGTGAATGCATTTGATGTAGACGTAGTTTCGTTGGATAAGGGCAGAACATTCACGTCATTGTTACTTTTAGAACTTATCTCCTTGTTGCCCTTAATTTCATCCCCAGATATTTTGGAAGTTGGTAGAAATTTTTCCGGAAATAGTTGCATGTGTCTAGTTCTCTTTATACAATCTTGCGCTATGTGATTGTATTTGCGACAATAAGTACAACGTAGTTTCATTTTACGTATAGTTGGCCGACCCGAAGCGGAGACAGCCGGATGGGGTTTCTTTGAAACTTCTGCGTGAATAGTGGTTTCTCCGTTGAGTAAAAAACCAACGGTTGGACTTGAACTCTCCTGTACAGACATAATTGGGGAATTATGTCCACTATGGTTACTTTCACAGTTCATTTCTGATTCGTCTATGATTGTATTGATCTGGTCCATAATATCGATGTCTATTTGAAAATTAACATTATCATGTGTTGTTGATGTTTGATTAATTGCTATAAATTCTTCTTGTGGTCCAGCCATAGTAGTATCGTCCTCGTTATTACTTTCTTTTTTAACAAGTGGTGGCATCAGATCTTCCGTACGCCTGACCTTAATCACGGGATCCTTATCGTTGACTATACAAGTTGTTGCTGGCACTACTTCGCCACATTCATTTGGATCGATATCTTTTTGTACTGTGTCAGTCTGCGACACACAGCTAATGTTTTCTTCTTTAGGCTCAATATCATGCACACCATTGACAAGGTTACTATTTTCGCTTGAATTTGCTGTTGTAACATTTGTTTCATTACTATCTTTTAATTTTAACTTTAATATTTCTTGCCTTAATTCGTTTACACTTGTAATACTTCCATATTCTAGTTTTGTTTGAACTTCTTTGGGTAACAATGCGAAAATCATATCAAATTTATTCTTTTCACTTTGCTTTGGATCAGATAATTCAGTTAATAATTCATACTTATCATCTATGAATTCTGTTTCCATGGCGTAATCTTCATATTTATGCTCAAATATATCTTTATAAACTAAAAATGCCGGCCTTTGGCGACCATATTGATTGTGCAAAGCAGTCAGAGCCTCAGACCATGTAGTAAAATGGCTTTTTCTTCGTTGCCACCACGAGTGGGCATGCTCAGTTAACAAATAACCCAATTCACCTAGAGCTTGTTCGTCCGATATAGATTTTATTTTTTTATATGACTCTATATATTCGATAAATTGTTGTATCTTCTGCCCACCATAATCGCCACAAAATTTTACTGGACAGTCTAACAACGTGTTGTATTTGCATAATATGTTATTAATAATGGTATTCAAATTCAGCTTGGATTCCATTTTATTTTTGATCATGTAGAAGTTTTATGTCTATGGGAGTAATAAAAATTAAATTCAATAGAAATGTGAAAAAAAATAATGATTTAGTTAGGTTTTGTAATAGCAAAGGTATTGCAGTGCATGTTTCTCATTTCGTTCAAGATAAAACAATTGACGACAGTAATATTTTATATAATGTCAGAATATATTCGTATATACTGGAGAAATGTTAATGAATTCATTAAAATAACACATTCTAATAAATATATGTATAATAATTATGTCACAGGATTGATTTAAAAAATGTGCCATAAATTCACAAAGTATTGTATATGTTCGATTTTATCCAGTCTATCCTGTTGGCAATGGCATACTTTAGATTTTCTGCAACTGTTTCTGATATTTGGCTTGTCAAAAAGCTGTTTTTAGGATTTTTTTTCCAGTTGGCTAATGACGATAACGATTATATGCTGGATGATTTACTCCACTTGACATATCTTGTGTAATGATATTCTCTGATGCGCACTTTTTTATCAGGTGGCTCCACATACTTCGCAAGTTTTTTTTTCTGGAAATTGATAGAAATTAATTTCCGATTCCGATATATAGTTGTCCCTGTTGTTTTTCCTCGAAGGTCTTCTATGTTGTTTCAGTGGCCAATGTGTCTGCAAAATTAACAAATTTCCACTTGTGTTTTACAATGTCGTAATAATGCTTAAACATATGCTGTCGAGTTCATCAGTTTCTGACTACTTTAAAGCAATATAAAATAACCTGATTCGAAAAAAATGTTCAGGCTGATAATTCAATTGAATTGAAATAAATACTTTCACAGAATATGCAAACAAAGAATTATAATGGCTCTGTAGCAGAACCTGCAAGAATCTACTAGTCTTGCATTATTTTCCCATAGCATAAGGAAATAATAGGTTATCGTATTAAAAACGTTTACATTCTTGCAGTTCTGGAACAGACCAAATATTATAGGAAGTCTTGAAAATGAAACAAAATAAATCCCAGTCTTTAAACTCTTTAATACCCAGTCTCACCTTTCTTATTCTTTTCGGTTTCTCGACTTAGTTGTCTTTTGAGATTTCTTGCAATTAGCTTTAAGCATCTTTCCACCGTGTGCGTACGACCGCGACAAAATTTGCAACGTGGTCTTTTGTTACGATTTTTTTTATTTGAATTTCCTGGATTCTCGTTTGAATTTACGACTTCTTTACGTTGTATATTTTGATAATCTTCGAAAATGTCAACAGCCGATCTTACAGAAATAATTTGGAGGTTTTGATGATTTTCTGTATTTGCAGTGCCAGCTATAACGCTGTGTAATGGTTCGGATAAATCCGAAGTCATTAGCTCAGCTTCTGTAACGTGTTTCGAAACATTACAATCTTGTTCTTGGCGTTTATATGAAAATGCGACGATGTTTGTTTCTGTAGGTTCCGTTTGAACATCGGTTTTATACAAGCCATTGTTTTCTTTTCTTAAGTTTTCTTTGAATGCGTCTAAAGATGTTGCAGTAAATTTCGTCATCGTCTGCAGTCTATTAGGCAACATACCATATATGAACTCTAGTTTGTGTTGCTCATTCACAAGGGGCACATTTGTCAATTCCTCCATGAGCTCATATTGGTCACCAATGATATCGTCCATATTATTTCTGTCCTTCCTGCTTAATTCAAACATATTACTGTATATGACGTGGTTAGGTCTTTCATTTGAATATTGATTTTCCAAAGCATACAGAGCTTCAGACCATGTTGAAATTGTACTTTTTGTTTTCAACCACCATCTGAAAGCATTATCTGTCAAAATATAATTAAATTCCAATAATGCCTGCTCATCCGTTATGCACTTTACGTCTTTATAGGCTTTTATGAATTTAATAAATTGTTGTATCTCCTGTCTGTTGTAGGCACCAGAGAAACGCGCTGGACAATGCAATAAGCTATTCATGATTTTTATACATTTGTTCGATTTCGATGTATGTTCAGGCTGCAAGCACAAAAATATTTGTTGCACATTTGCCATGATTTAATTAGATATTTTAGTAGATACAAGTATTAGGACTAAATAATAATATAGAAGTAATACTTTGAAAATAACTTGTCGGACCCACAAAAATATTTTGAATCAGAAGTCACTATTATTAATATTTCAGTTTCCGAGTCGGTAATGTGTACATAATGTAAAACTGTAAATTATCTGTCTGTATTATGGACTTAAAAACGAACAAGCCACAATATATTTACAGTGCTTTTTTGAAAATCTATTTTGTTAAAGGATGAGGGAACATTTAAAAAATGTGTTGTTTTTATATATTAACGAACACATAGCAGACGTCCATAACAATCTATTAGAACTCAATGCAATTCAACAAATTCGAATTACCTAAAACAAGAGGGGTAATGTAAAACCCCAACTTGTTTGCAATATAATAACGATATGTTCATATATAGTGTTTTAGTCAAAATAACGATTAGAAGAAAAAACTTAAGAGAAATTTAACCAAGCTATACCCTTATAATAGTTTTCAAGCATGCTAATTCTGAGCTGGGCACAATATATGACTTTAGCTTCCTAATGTGCTTCCAAACAGCGCAGGATGGTCTGCATGCGTTGTCCTCAAATATTATATATTTTAGGGATAATTGTGATTGGGTGCATTTATATTATTTCGATCGTCTCTTTGGAGCACACAACGTGGACAGTTCTGCGATGCATTTTTTGTATGGATGAAACTCAGAGAAGTGGCTCCATGACAATATGTGAGTTATTTAAAACTTATGTTTCCTTTAACTATGTTGTGCAACAAACTTAGCATGAATGCGATTAAGAGAACTATAATATTCACGGTCCTTGGCCATTGCCGACAACAATCAATTCATTATCTTTCATCTGAAATCACTTTGTCATAGAAGTCACATTTTTATTCGACTGACACAATACCTTTGCTATGTTTGTTTGTTTCCTTTAATGTGGCACAATCTTAACACACCTGTTTCAAATTGTATGTATCATCTTGTAATATTTATTCTTTATCAATCCTTTAATCCTGGAAAGACTTTGTACCACTTCCAGCTAAGAAATGAAAGTAAACAAACCCTCACTACGTTCCGATGAAATGGTTCAGAAAAATTATTCACCGATAGGAAAAGAGCCAGTTCTCTTAGTTCGTATGAAACATTTGATAGACTCATAGTTCATATCATGGCAGAAGAATATAGGTAGATGCATCAACGCTTGGGAGCATTGATATGTCAAAAAAAATTAAATGTTTTTTTTTTTAATATAAGTAGATTTTTATATGTTTTCTTATACTACGTCAGTCGGAGGCTATTAGAATATAGGTAGATGTATCGACACAGCTGCTGAGACAATGAACTGTCAAACCAATTTTGGAATTGAAAATGTTGAATGAAAAATTATTTAAATTTGACTGACGTCGTATAAGAAAACTTATAAAAATTTACTTATGCCATGTTTACGTTAGAACTTTTTGTAGGGTTAACCTACTTTGAGAGGATTTATTTGAAGTAAAAGTAATGGATATGACAATTTAAATCCAAATCCAGTGGGTTAACCCTCATATATATAAACGTACTTTTATCTTTGATAGAACATTATTTTACATATAAGTGTTCCCCAGCTTTGATGCATCTACCTGTATCTTTCTACCATGGTTCGTATGGAACAATTGATAAACTTATAGTTCGTATGAAACAATTGATGAACTCACATATTACAGGCTTACCTGTGGCACAATTACAGAAGCTACCTCCACGCATGGCTCAATAAGAAAGGTTGTCCAACTTCGAAGAAACAAGAAAATGCAAATCTGTACCGGAGTCTTATAGTGTCTAATATGTTTCTAAATATGCAAGAATTGGTTTGTTTATTTTACTTTTTTCACAAATTACTACATTGGGTTTCTCCACAATATTGATAAGAACAAAGTAACGTAGGGTGAAAAGGTATACATTATGGGCCGAAATAGCCACCCAAAACTCCACTGTTCTTTAACGAAGAATGATTTAAGCGCATTTATAACATTGATTAATGGCGATTGGTCAAATATAACCACACAAAAATATGCGGATTTACCACACAAAATATATATCTTCCTATGATCGGATTTATTATATATCTTATACAGAATCTACATACCATGGATGGAACAAGTTATTTTGTGTTTTGACACTTTTTCACAATATTTTAATTTAAGAGAAATCAGCGAAAAATAAAAGAAAACCACGGTTTTTAAAATATCGATAGGACTAAAGATGTGTATACATAAGCAGCTTGAAATCTTTGCATGACATATTTTGTCATATATCATAAAGGGAGAGCCAAAGAATATAGGTAGTCGCATCGACACAGCTGCTGGGACAATGACCTGTCAAAATAATTTTGAAATTCAAAATGTTAAATGAAAGTTTATTCAAATTCGTTAAAACTGATGTAAAATGCTTATCATAACAAACTGATTGACGTCAAATAATGTCATGTTTACGTTAGAACTTTTTGTAGGGTAAACCTTCTTTGAGAGGATTTATTTGAAGTAAAAGTAATGGATATGACAATTTAAATCCAAATCCAGTGGGTTAACCCTCATATATATAAACGTACTATAAGGAAGCATATAAAAATCTACTTACATTTGAAGAAATATTTTAAAAAATTTCACATATCAATGTTTCCAATGTACCTGCATTCCTTTACCATGACCGGATTCGAATTCTGCCTTAGTTTTTTGTTATCATTTGACATAATATGCCTGCCAAGCTGCTTATGTACCTATAGCTTTCAATCAAAAAAATAAATTTTATTTCCAACAGATTTTGAAAAATTTCGAAATTATTTAAAACATTATTAAAAATAATACATACGCATATAAAATCTCAAAATTTGTGTAAAAACTACAAAAATGGCGAACAAAGTGATCAAAGCAGCACAATTGCCACTTGAAACTGGCAATTAAAGAGACTATCTTGTCCATAATCAGGCGGTGAAAATTTACGAACACGGACAGTGTTAAATGGGATCAACGGCCACTCTTCCTAGATAGTACTTTTTTCATGCGGGTAACTATATTTTTCTTTGAAGTTGAGCAACCTTTCTTATTGAGCCATGTTTGTACCCATGGTACAATAAGAAGGTAGAACAGCTTCGTAAAACTACAGAAGTACAACCATAAGGTTTTGCCTGCTTCCTGTCAAATATCCACGCAACAAGTTTTAATTTATTCAATATTTTCCCTCATTTTTAGAATCAGATGAATCAAATGAATTATATGCCTGGATTTTCTTTCAAAAATATAATCTAAACAGTTCTATCTTCAATTCCATGGAAAACTGCCAAATAGCTTTTAATGCGCGTCCCGGAATGAACTCGTCTTCAGTCATTGATTTTGAAAATATTCGTTTTTTATTTTTCAAGACAATAAATACATATACAAAATTGGAAAATTAGAAAAAATTGTAATTAGCTGGGAGCTCTACCTTACCTTTTTATTGTACCATGCTTGTACCTACAAAATGTACTAAAAAAAATCTTACTTTGACTCAAATGCCATGAAATTTGTTTGTTCTCTCCAAAAACTGTAAAAAAATATGTCCTGTCATGACAAAATGACAGGAATATAATTAAATTAATATATGTAACTAAATACTTTTTTAATTCATTTTTATTTTTTTAGCACAAGGTATTATGTAAACCATTCATGTGAGCAGCCCTTAGCGCCAGAAGCCGTGTTTAGTTAGCATTAGAAACAGAAATACAACCATGTTGCCGAGGGCGCCACCTACCAGAGTATAGCAAACATCTTAAATGTCATCACAATGACAGCTGTCAACTCGATTTTCCTTTCTTTCCGGTGACTGCTCCAATAAAGACGCTAAAGTATGTAAAATTTCTGTAAAAAATCTTTTAAAATCTATGCAATCGTAAAAATTAATTTGCAAAACTGATAATCAACCAAACAATAGTGAAAGACGAAAAATTTGCAAAATGATTAGTGTTAACAATAAACGTTAGTTTGCTAAAGACTGCCCATAATTGTGACCAGTGATAAATATTGACAACAAAGCGCAAAATTATAAATGAAATTTAACTAATTGGTTGTGTGTGTTTTTCTTTTTAGGATGTTTATGCCCAAGGCTCATCGCGTTGCTATCTACGAATACCTCTTCAAAGAGGGTGTTATCGTAGCCAAAAAAGATACCCATGCCCCCAAGCATCCTGAACTTGAGAGCATCCCCAACTTGCATGTCATCAAAACAATGCAGTCCCTCCACTCCCGTGGCTTGGTTAAGGAACAATTCGCCTGGAGACATTACTACTGGTACTTGACCAATGAAGGTATCGAATTCTTGCGCAGTTACTTGCACTTGCCCCCTGAAATCGTTCCCGCCACACTTAAGCGTCCCACCAGACCCGAAACTGTGCGTCCCCGCCCAGCTGCTGCCGGTCAGCGTACCGCTGATGCCAGCAAAACTGGTGAAGATCGTTCCGCTTACAGACGTGCTCCTGGTGGCGCTGATAAGAAGGGTGATGTTGGCCCTGGCGCTGGTGATGTTGAATTCCGTGGAGGTTTCGGTCGTGGTCGCCCCCAATAAACTACTAGTTGACATTTGGTGATTAGGACATCACCCGGCTAGACGTAAATCTTTTTAATTTCATAAAAAGATGTGTTTTCTATTTTAAATGATAAACAACAAAATACAAAAAAGATACAAAAGAAACCAACACTAAAACTACTTGTTCATTAATTATTGTAAGGAAGGAATAGCAACAGAAGGAACCTTGCTTGTTATATTGAAACAAATATTCTTCCTTGACAAAGTGGGATATTGAATATGTGTTAAAAAGTGCAAAAAAAAACTTGGTGTCTGCTATGAATACAAGTGCAAGTCTTGAATGTAAACAAAAGGTGGTTCAGAAAAAAAAATTGTACAATTTCGTTCAATATTGAAGAAACATGAGTGTAAATTTTGAAAAGATTTTTATTAGTCTCGTTTTGAGAATAATTTTTTTGGTCACTTTTCTGAGTAGAACTAGTAATATTTGGTTGATAATTTTTTAACTCCATTAAAGCATGTTATCATATGAATTTAAAGCCAAATTTATATTAAAATGTTTCCAAAGCCCCACCCTTACTTGAGTTCAATATTTGAGACACTCGCAAGAACAGTAATAATTTAGCATTTATTACAAAGCTCTGACAATGTTCTTTGTATAAGCCAGTAAACTAATGTATTTCAAATTGCTAAAGAATCTAATTGAAGATGAATATTTTTAGTGCAGTGATTTCCTTACATCGTCTCAAAAGAAATTCAACACGAGTTTAAGTATTTTGAATTATTATTAATAAAATTAAAAAGAAGTTCCTTTGAAAAACTCATAATCATGGTTGATCGACTTATTTGGGATTTAAGATTTTGATTGTATTCTCCGTGAACGAAGGCAACTTAGTCATGCATTTTACAAGGCTACTTGTTGGAAGCAAGCTAAAAAGCTATTCTTGAACTATTTTTAATTTTTTTATGCCAAAAATATTCGCTTGAATTTTATTTTTTGTTATTTCTGGAATACTGTGATATATCTTAAGGTTTAGATAAATTCAATTAAAATTAAATGAAAACCGTTATGGACCTGCGCCTGGATTTTTGTTCTATGAAAACATAAAATGGAAAATATTTCCTTCATAAAATTTTTCATTTGACATTAATAATGAATAATGTCACAAAAATTATGAAAATATGGAGTAGATATATATATATATATATATATATATATATATATATATATATATATATATATATATATATATATATATATATATATATATATATATATATATACACTTTTTAGGGCCTATTATAAATATTTCGAGGAGTTACAAATGGAATTACAAAGTTATATACCCTCCATAGAATAGTGGAGTGTATAAAAAGAACTGCTTCATTATTTACTAATTTTATTTTTATATTTTAAGGGTAGTAATACTTTATACTCTGAAAGATACTAAAACATTTATAATTATATTTTAGTCATGATAGGGGAAATATGGACTTAAAAGAATAGGTCTTGGAATGGATGTTTAAAAAATTATAGTAAAATTTTACTCTTTTGCTGAATTTATAGTTTAATCTCCAGTTCTAAGTAAACCTTGTCGCCCAAACACATACTGTCCATGAGTTAAAGTATTAAATAAATTTAATCCCTCTTTAAATAAATATAATCCTAGAGTATTTAATATCTCAGAATCTTAAATAAATGTAAACCTTTGTTATCAAGTATTCTTTATCACCCTTAAGTTACTTATACCCAACTTGATGTATATGTTGCTGTTGTAAAAAATTTAGTAAATTTGGTAAGTTTAAATAGAGCACTAAGCCCTTGTTTGTATTGTTGTAAATAACAAAGAAAACAATTCGAAATTATTTCAAATTCAGTTTCAACAAAAAATTTACTATTTATGGATTAGGTAAAACAATACCCTTTTCCAGTGAATATTATTTAAATGTGTTAAAAGCGTGAAAGATGCCTGATTTTAAAATGTAATATACTTTAAAAGGTCTATATGATACAATAAGACTCTAGGACAGTGATGCATTTTCCTTAATTTCTTTGAAGGGAAACTACATTTTTGGTTTTATCTGTTAGTTTATTCCGTTCTTTTTTTCCAGGACTTATTTGCATTCACTGTCTTAGAAAAATGCTAGACAATGGCGAAAATAGTCGAACCACTGTGTATATAGTAGTTAAATACAACTCTGATTAAATTTGGCTTGTGTACATGTCAGGATATTTCTGTTTGTGCCATGGTAGATGCATCAAAGTTTTAAATATTTGTTTAAAAATAAGTATATGTATATATTTGCTTCCTACACGACGCCAATGGGAAATTGTTATAATATGTATTTTTTAAACAATTTTTACAAATTTCAGTAATTTTTCATTCAAGAATTTCAATTCCAAAATTGGTTTGACAGGTTATTGTCCCAGCAGCTGTTTCGAAGCGTCTACCTATATTATTCTACCATGATGGATTTATTAACATATATTTTGACAATGATGATATTTTCAAAGGCATAATATATAATAAATAAAACAACTTCTTGCATTTGTTATTAATAAATTTGAAGTTATTCAGAGCTTCAGAGTTGTATTTTTCATATCTGCCCTAACTTGTAGGTATTGTACCATTGTAGAAGCATACATGTAGTCGCATCGACACTGCTGCCTGGACAATGAACTGTCAAACCAATTTTGAAATTGAAATTTTTTAATGAAAAATTATTCAAATTTGTACAAATTGTCCATTTGTCCTTTTCCATTTATTGTATTATAATACATAATACAATAAGGAGGTAGAACATGGTATAAAATAACGAAGGTAAAGTCATTTCAAATAAGTATATCCATATCTGCATGTTCTGTAATTTTCCTTGTCAAATTTCACTGAATAAAAAAGGGGTTCCAATCTCTGATTTCTGCGTATACAATTGATTTATAAATATAAATTTTGACAAACGAATAATATTGGGAGCAATTGTTAATATATGACCATAATTCAACCATTGAAATATTTTTCATTTCATATTTTCATGAAACAAGAATTTAAGCCAAGGAAATTGAAAAAAGAAAATTGAGACACCTAGGAAAAATCAAGATGTCGTCAGCCCACTATGCCATAACACGACGTTGAAATATCGATAAATTGTTGCAGATGGTCGATTAACCAATATGTCAAAAAACGAACTATAGACACCTAATTTACCTTCTATTAAATTGTAAAGTGTACAAAACTTTTCCAGATACTAAATTGTAAAAAATCAAGAGTTTTTGAATAATAAATATAGATAAATCGTCATGTCTTATCCAAATTATGGGGTCGCAAGCGACGACGAACGGTTTGCAGACTACAACGATGATTCTCGCTCCAATAATAACTTTGAACAAAACAACTATGACAGTGAAGAGGGTAAGAAAATTAAAGAAATAAAAAAAAATATTTCACTACAAATCTCTAATTTATATATTAATGAAATCCTTGAAGATACTGATGATGCCAGTGAAACCGAGTTTCGCAATAATGGACGAACTCCCAGCTATACCAGCTCCAATCACCAAACAACAAATGGTACCAACAACCACAACCATGAACTTAAAGAACAGTACGTAAACAATATACATAGCATACATGGTGTTTCGTTTTTTATTTTAACATTGCGTTTATATTTCTTCTTCATTAGAATGTATCAACACAAATTAGCCAGCTTAAATAAACAACTTGAAGAATTAAAAAGTCTAACACATCCTGAATACTTGAAGAGACTCAAGAAGTTAGAATATCAATACAAGGAGAGATTAAAATTGAACGAAATTTATAGAGACTACCTCAAAGAATGTGTGGAAAGGGATTATATCCTGGAAAAGAAGGCTGCACAAAAAGAGTACGATGAGAAAAAGGTAGGTCTACGAAACGTTTTTTCTTCTTAAAATATAGAAACGCAATAGCAAAGCGTGTCTACGTGAGCATAAGTCAAGATGAAAACAATATGATATTGATGGGTGGCTTGATTTGTTATAATCGTATATACCTATAAAGGAACGACAAAAATCCATTTTTATTTAAAACTAAACTGAATAATGAAGATAGTATGCGTGTCTCTGTATTTGTCATATTATAAAAGTACGTAATTTGATTACTGCTGCTCATTCTCTGTATGATACATTTCATGAAAATTATTGTTATTGGTTTTTTCTTTTTTCAATAATTGCATATATTTTTAATGTTTTCTTTGTGCTTTTACAAACACTATTTCACCTGTCTTTATTTGGTGTTACCTTCTTCTGTAATGTAATAAATGTAGGAAAATATCATTTATTGCTTAACATTATATTTATTTTCAGATTGATTTAAAAGACAATATTTTAACAGACTTTGAAGAAAGGCGAAAATTGATCGAAAATGAACGCTACAGTCTGGAACTAACTAATGACTCAATGGAGGTTAGTAGATGAAAAACTAAGTATTTGGTTTCAAAGTGAGCTATATTAATAATAAACAAATTTTTTTTTACCAGATCAAACCCACCGTAACACGTAAATTACGTAGAAGACCCAACGATCCAGTGCCTGTGGTGGAAAAAAGACGTAAACCTACAACTGGCCAATTATTGGTATATATGTTAGATGAAAAGGAAATAGAAAATGATCTTAAAACAATACAAAGGGGGAAACCTTTAACGCCGAGTAAGTTATCATCAAAATTGTGAAGTGTGTTTGCGAAATATAAATGAATGTACTTTTTAGCGTTACAACAAAATGGCATATCTGTTAGTAGTTCTTACGGATCGAATAGTCTGCAACAAACACCTATTGTATCCGACAATGGTACTACACAATATGTGGAAACACGTATAGAAGATGGCAAATTATTATATGAAAAACGTTGGTTTCATCGTGGCCAACAGATATATGTAGAAGGCAAAGATCTACCAAAATTCGCAGCTACCATTACAGCCATAGGCAATGAAGTGGTAATTCTGTTAAAACGTCACATTTATAAGGACAATTGAAATCATGTTTTTTTTTTTTGTTTTCAGGTATGGGTTAAGAAGGTTAATGACAGCAGCAGTAGTAAGGTTAAAATTAATATGTCCCATTTAGCTAAAGGCAAGGTGACAATAAAACGACGTGCCAACTGATGACATCTTAATGCTTCTAAACATCAACCAATTGCTTTTACTCCACCAACCATCAATTAAGTAAATTAATTTAATATAGATTCTAGATTATTTCAGCATAGGATTACAAACACCATTCATTTTGAATGATTGAACTGTTGATTTAGTTTTTATTATTATATTTTCCTACAACTCCAAACACACTCGATATTACACTCATTTACTGTAAAGAAAATATCGAAATCATTTTTTATGTTTTAATTTTATGTATAATTCCAATAACTTAATTTATTGTTTTCCTTTTTTTCATTTTAATTCAAATACACATCAATTCGTTTTGTGTTTTCTTACTTTAACAATAAAAAAATTCTCTTGTGTACATACGCAATGTAATGTTTTAGATAATTAAATATAATGTCACTTTTAAATATAATTGTATTCATAAATCATAAAAAATATATAAACGTGATTTCCAAACATACTTAAAAAATCTTGAAAGAAACATTCTGTTTTATCTGAGTGTAATAATAAGAATTTTATTGTTTATTTATATGAAAAATTTGTCTTTTGCGTGGGATTTTAGATTTTTGTTTTTGGAAAAAAGGTGAAAAATTTTTATTCTGAAATTTTATTTTAATGAGACCAAACAAATTTTGATTTATCTACAGTGAATCTTCCCTACCAGAAGGTTTTCCATAACGAGTTTTTCTCTATAAAGAAATTTATCTACGACGAGGTAAGTACATATTAATATGTCTAACTGGAGACTACCCCCTTCTGTCATGATTAATTAAAAAACAAACAGTTATTTCATATATAATTTATTACCAGCTATTTGATATAGGATTTTTGTTCTCTTTCATGGTTAATTCTCTAAATTATACATTAGTCTAGTTCAACAATTGCGTCAATACAAACAACTGTTATTGCTACGTTACATATTAACTTACATAACTAAACGAACAATGATTTTTATTAAATATTCAAATGTTTTAACATATTAATATGTATGTACTATATTATAGATCTTGCTTTGTTTTTGGCAGAAATATATATAGTTATACCAAACAAAATTGTCATACGCTATGTAGTTATTTATTTTTGGCCAAACTCATAAACTCAGCACAAATTTCTTCATTTATCTCCTCAACTTCTGGAATGTTCGACATTACCCATGTTTCATCGGTGCTCTCCAAACTTTCGCAGCAAATAGGGCATGTTTTATTGTTGACGTTCCTGCAATAAGGTAAAAAGAAGACATTTATTTTTTTCGTGTTCTATACATTTCCCTCGATAAATCAAAATACCATTGCTCGATACATGGCGTACAAAAGGAATGAGTACATGGTAGTATTACTTCAGTTTGTCTGTCCAAACATATGGAGCACTCATCGATGTGGTCGTTATGGGTACATGTAGATACAGATGGGCTACTGAGACCGCTGCCACTATCTGGGCTATTGCTCATGGCGTTCATAAACATTGAGGTGGTGAACTGTGATGGTAAGGGATGCCTTTGACTGTTGCTATTGGTTGACTCTTCGTCATCTGGGGTGGATTGTGAATCTCGTCGTTGTTCCTTTATACATAAAAGTATATAAATAGATAGATGTTCAAATAAATTTTTATTACTAATTATTTATATTTTAAAGGAATTATTACAATAAGTTAGTCTGTGTACTTTTCCAATATCATATAATGTAAATTCCTTCGAGAGAGAAAGACGCTTTTTAATCACTCGTCAAAAAATTGCAAAACGCAAAATACAACGTTTAGTAAAAACTTTTAATTGTTGGGGAAATTTAAGGAACAACTCTAGCTTAGTAAATACTCTTCGATTTTTTCGAAAATTTTTTTCAGGTGTAGTTATTTTTACCCTGATCCCGGGAAACTATTTTTTTCTTTAGGACGGACCCGGTACCCTCGATTTTTGACCCGAAAGTCTGGGTTTAGTTCGCGCAGTCGGTTGAAAGCACCCAGAAGAGATATTACCTCTGGACCCAGAAAAGGTATTAGCACAAATTTTAACATTTTGGAAAGGTAAGAGTGAGTAAGAGTTTGGGATAAATTTGGTTGACTCCCATAATGGGCCCATTTTTGACTCCCATAATAGGCGGTTTTTATAAAAAATCCGGGTCCAAAAAATCAATAATTTAATTATAATTATGAAACGCTTAAAAATTGCCCCATCATGTTCATGCTGTATGCATTTTTACCACAATTTTGATTACCCAAACACACTTAATGTATCTATAGCATAAGATGGCTCATGAGATTTGTGTTCTTTTTTATATTTTTTAAACGATGTTTTTTTATTTTCTGATCTAATAATTCATTTGCTTTATACTTTTCGCAATATTGTGCACTAGACTTTTTTGTGTACTCTAGAGGATTCTTTGGAACATAAAATGGAAGAGAATACATATAATTTTGATCATGCAGTTTCTTGTACAAGACGAGATTTGTGAATATCTTTGGGAGTGTTTGGTTCAAGTTCCAAAAAGACCAAAAGTATATAGAAATTATGTTGGAACTGTTAAATGTGAATTATATCAAATATTATTTGGAAGACAGATATAAACCAAACATCACATCTTTGGAATCTGTTCAAATTCCAGTGCAATACATGCTGTCCAAAAGGCAGAATTAAGTCAATATTCATCTTAATCCGAGGTTTTGCTCGTATGAGATTAGGAACATTATTCGTATTTGGTAATATACAATACTCGATTTTCCCCTTTCTACAAATGTTATATAGTGCCTTGTATCTTAACCGTATGTATATCTCTAAACCATGATCTTATACACAACGCAAATACGGAATTCCATAATAAATCTTCATTGTTCTTAACAAAATACAAAAGAAAAACAAAAGAATGAGTGTGATTTTCATATGATTTATTACCCTGTGTTGTTCACTGCTCACCAGACTCTCCAAATGGGCTTGAAACGTTTTGAATACACATAAAAATTGCTTGAGATTGAGAAATTTGTATGAATCGATTTGTCTTGTCTCAGGATTAACTTTTACACAGGCTATTTTAACGGTCGCTTTCCACAGGAGTGATGTGTCTGTACCATTCTTGACCAAAAACACCAGTTGCTTTCCATTTGGGTCTATGCATTTGCGAGATCTAATTAAAATGTAAAAAATCAATAAAGATTATTTTTTTATTTACAACTCAAATTTCGAATAAACTTACAGTGCATTTAAATTACCCAAACAAGTTTTGAACTCTTCATATGTTAAGGAATTGATTTCCGATAGAACTTTTGTATGACGCACTACCTGCATATGAACGCTATCAACATCCGGCAAAGAATCGGCCAAACTCTGTGCCTGTCCCATTATTGTTATTAGTTGTCTTCCCAAAGACTGGGAAAAGTCACGTTATAATTCGTGTAACAATTAGAGAATATATTGTTAAAAAATCTCTTTATGTGTTGTCGTTTTGGAATCTTATATTTATATTTATCTTTTGCAATTTGTTTCTGTCTGTATTAGGGAAAAAGGGACCAACAGATCGAAAAAGAAGGCATTCAGGGCTTAGCAGGTCGAAAGCCAGACATGAGCTGGAGTTCACAGAGTTCACCAGATCGAAAACATGAATCCCTTGCAGGGTTTTAAAAATCGGCCCCATCTAAACATAAACAACTGTTTTCAGTGTTGCCAATCATATTTCATAAATTCAATTCAACGATAATTTCTGCATACTTTTAGGCATTTAACTTTATATATTTAGGAATGATACTTTAGGAAGTCATCGATTTGCTTTAAATGAAAAAGCGATCAAATAAATTTGTTGTCATAGTTTATATTTGTTGAATTCCAGTACTTTTTCATTCCAAATATTAAAAAGGCAGTATACTTAAATTCGCTTCGTGACAATTTGTTTGTCCATAAGAAAAGAGATAACAAATTTCATAAAATGTGAATGGCAGGTGACAATCCTTCAAAGTCACCATATTACTCAATCAGAATCTGGTTACCATGATACTAAACACCATTTTGTGCGTCAACCGACAAACACTGAGAAAAATGTAAAATGCCCGAAATATATAAAAAAATGGCCTTTCCCTGTAGCCAAGTCCCTGTCAATGAAACCGGACCAAATTGTGTCATTTCCTACCAATTCTATCTACCGGTTTAAAGCTACAATAAAATGTCTGCTTCGTATTTTCAAATAATTGGCAAGACTAGCAACATATTATAAAAGATGGCGCTGGTATGTATTTTCAAAATATACACATACTGGTAGAAGAACACAGGTTATCGCATTGATACAGCTGCGGAGGCAACGAACTGTCAAACCAATTTTGAAATTGAAAATGTTGAATAATGGCCAAAATATCACGCTTTAAAATGCATGTTGACATTTATTTTTTCTACCAGGCAATAGGTAACCGATGACATGAGAAATCGGCATTATAATGTTTACAGAAATATGTTACTCCTAAATTACCAAATATTTCGAAGAACCGCAAAAAAGCATTAGAAATTACAGATATGGCTTCAAAAATCTATTCCATCCCAATATATGGAACATTGATTCGATGATTTTTCAATCAAATTATCTCAAACTTGGTATTTGGAGTTCGTAATAGGCACCGCCCCTGCTGGTAGGCAATAGGCTACATTGTGTCACGTATTATTATAGCCCCATACAACTCGAACACCTGATATTCGGAAAATGTTAACGGGATTTTCAACAGAAAAAAATAATAAAAATGCAAGTTGTATTTAAGTTTTATTTGATATATAAGTTCCATTTTATTTTGTTTGTTTTTCAAGTACATCAAGTACAGTTTCATTTTCAGTTTAATACTTTTTCCTTATATTTAATATATGAATGTATGGATTTAGTTAGATGCTAAAGATTTTAAATCTATTAAAAAAAACATATGTTCAAATTAAATAAAATAAAATTTAAATTAGAAGTAAACTTAGAATATAAAACTTTGAGCAATTTATTAATTCTACGTATACATCAAAAAGATGTATACAATCTGTATGATAAACCCAAAATAAAAAATAATAAAAATATATTTCAAATTAATTTCGAAAATAAACAATTTTAAAATTATTCTAAAGTTGCACTTTATATTATTTACACATTTTATATAAAATACAATAATCAGTCTGTAGACTCATTTTCTTGTAATCTCTAAAGACAAAAAAAAAAAAAAAAAAGAAATAAACAAATATTCAAATTAGTTGGTAAGGTAAATCGATAAGAACAAAATTGTTATATTAGTTTGGTCAAACTACAATTAATTGCATTTTCTTAATATGGCCTATGAAAATATTAGAAATGTAAAACTTAAAGTAAAATATGTATTTATAGCAAAAAAGGGATATGCCTATAGAAGATTGAAAAAAATAGATTGCATCTATTTTGTTTTAGATATTAAAAAAATACATTAAGAATTAACTAAAAGGCATTTCGTTTTAAAAATAAAAAAAGCACTTGCATATAAATTTAATATAAATACACATTTATGAAATACAAAACTGTATTTTAATGATATTAAATTGATTTTACAAGTCTATAAAATTTTCGGTAAAAAAATTAATAAATTTAAATTATATATATTTATTTTAATGATAGTTAATATTTACACATTTATTTATTTTTATTTGATTACAGATACAGAGGACAATGATAAAAATATTTTTAATTATGAGATTTGTCTGGTCAGTTAAAGTTATCTTAAATCTAATAAACGATTTCATATACAATTATAATGGTAAAGAAATGAAAAAAAAAAAATAACTATAATGAAATGACACAAAAAAAAAAAAATCAAACGAAATTAGAAAGATAAGGTTTGTGCTAACAGAGTAGACAGAAAAGAGAAGAAGTTTGTTTTTTTGGATTTTGAGCGGTGGAGGTAAAATAAATTATTTTTCACATTTTTGACACAGCCAAAATTAGAGATTTTGTTTTCAAATTAATCGCTCAACTCATTTATCCCCCACCAGATAAATATGTGTCAATGTTTGAGAGATTTGCGTTATTGTAAATTAATTAAAAATAAATGAAATAACTGAAAATACAACACAGGAAGAAATAAAACCAATTACACTGTTTATTTCGTTTATGAAATAAATAGCAAATTACATAGAAAAAATGTATAATCGTTGATGTGATTTTTGTTTTTGTTCCTATTGAAAGTCTTATTATCACAAGTTTGAAAGATATATTCAAACAATATTATTAGATATTTGTTTCATATTAATATTTCAGAAACTTTACCATATTTACGTGTTTTTGATTTAAATAAACGCAAGTTTTAAATTTTATTATGAACAGAATTAAAAACTAAAGGCATTTACTATATTTTGTGACATCTTGTGTTTGCGTGGCGAGGGTCTGTTTTCCGAATAGAATTCAATGCTGAAGAGGACATTTATTATTTGTTTCTAAAGGGAAGCAAAGCGAGACTTACATCAAATCGAATAAGTCGTTCTTTAAAATGACATATTATAACAAGTTAAAATGCAGTAAGTTCGGCCGGGAATACCCTCCACCATTTGCCACGAATTTAAAAATTTTCAAAAAATAAAATCCGGTCAGTATTGTACCTTAAATCGTCAAAATACCGAATATAGGGAGGTACTGATATATGGGGCCTGCCTATGGACCTGCATACACAATTTTCTGTCACAGATTGAAGTTCCCATTACGAACTCTAAATACGTTATTTGAAACTACTCCGGTGAATAATGACACTAAAATCATCAAAATACCGAATATAGGGAGGTACCGTTATATGGGGACTATACAAAGACGTGGACCTGCACAGACAATTTTCTGTCTTAAGCGGTAGTATCCATTTTGAACTTTAAATACCAAATTTGAAACACTTCCGGTGAATAATGTCGCCAAAACCATCAAAATGCCGAATATTCGGAGGTACGTGGACCTACATGGCCCATTTACAAACTTAACCTGTCTACTGGTAGAATAAACATGTGTGCTTATTAGCTTTATATCTCAATTTGTTCGAAAGATAGCGTGATTACAACAGACAAACAGACGGACATCGTTAATTCGACTTAGAATTTTACGCTGATCAAGAATACATATACTGGGTCTAACATGAGTATTTCGAGGATTTACAAACGGAATGACAAGTTAATATACCCTCCATAGTATAATGGAGGGTTTAAAAACCAAACAGGAGCGAAAATCATAAAATATTGTAAAATCATTTAGCTTTAGCTACCTTGCGTGAGGATTTTGGTTATTATGCAGATTTTTTTGCAACTTGAAGACTTCAAGGTAAATGAATGCCTTTGCCATTTAAATTCGCGTAATTGAATGAATAAAATTAATTTTTTTTACAAAACTATTCATTTATAAAGTGTGCATTAAATCTGATTTCAAATCTTGCTTATAATTTACACTGCCCAGTTTCGAAATATCTAATATTTATTTAAATTAAGATTCACACCATTCAACCATGAACAACAACTAATTCAAATTTCTAACAACATATACGAATGATATTGAATGTTTCCTTGCGGAAAAATTTGCTTTCGAATTGTTTATTAAACGGTTCAAACAAATGTTGGCCTGCCGAAGCCTTCATAAAAATACATATGACCGGAAGTAACTTAACTAAGATTGGTTTAATCAGCTTTCTAAGTTTGATTTTTGTCAAAAATAAATATCATTTCGTTATAGACACAAGACAAACTGACACAATTTTAACTGAGATATTTGAATGAGATTTAAATTTGAAGTCATCTTAAATTCTTTTATATGGTACCATCGCAGCGATAGGGTTACATTTGAAGTCATAACTTGTTATATGAAAAAAACCATAAATTCATTATCAAGATTTTTAAAGACAAACTGACACACTTTTACTTCACACATCAACTCCTAACTATGGTAACGTGTTTCTGAATATATTTTACAAGAGCTTAAGGGATTCCGTAATTTTAACAACTTAAATAAATCTGCAAATACTTACAATTTGTTTTCGTTTTTATCTTATTACTTAATTTGGGGGGTAGTTCACAAGTACAATAGGGATGGGGAGAGAAAGAGAGGGAATTTTCGTTTGATTTTAGTTTCGATTTAAAAGCTATTAAATGAAGCTCTTTTAAATTAATTGAGTAAATTATTCAATTAACAGAATAATACTTAATAAGGATTCATTTGAAATAGCTTTTAAAAAATATACAAATCGTATTATGTTTCATTTCAAATCTTAAACAATACTAATAATGGCCTTAAGTTCTAAATAACACATTACTACAAAATTGTAATTTTGAAGTGGCGTTGGTTTCAATGTAAATAACCAACAAGAATAGTAAAAAAATGAAATTTAATTTTTTTTTAACTTTTGGTGGTTATTTTATATTGAATGAAAGATTTCATTAGATTTCAAATAAAAATTATTAACAGGATATTTTTGAAAAAGAGACTTGGTACTACTTCGCCAATTTCAGCAGAAGCAGGTTGTAAATTGTAATCGAATAAAATACATGTTCATATTTAAGTCCGAATCACTTCTCAATTACAAACAATTTTTTAGCTGTAGCCCAGTGTTGTAATAGATAATAAACAAAAAACATACAATTCGTCTAATAAATTATATGAAAGGAAAAAATAAACGGAAAATGTGATAATTATTGGAAAAAGGAAATAAAAATGAATGCATATCTGGTACCATTATACCTAGTTGTCGTTTTCTAAATATAAATAAAGTTTTGTTTTTTCTTTTTCTTTAGCTTAACAATCTAATAAATTTCATTAGAATTTCTTATGATCCTACATACAATTTAATTACTAAAAAATAAATATAGGCAGACATTTGTTTTCGTCATCTTTTGTGTTTCATTTTTTTTGTTATTTTTTATCATTTTTCTTTAGCTTTTTGTTTCGAAAGTAAAAATATGATTTTGTTTTTGTTTTTTTGTTGTATGATTTGTAAGTAGTTACGGTGTGCCAAGTAGCAGCAGTAATGTAAATGTGTTTGGTGATTGTTTGTTCAGTTATGAGGAGGTATGATGATAATGATAAGGGGCAGGAGGAGAAAATTGATAATTGAAACTAAATCTTACAATTCTGTAGATTGTCAGACAAAAGATGAGAAACCAGGCAATGGTGCTCTCGATCTGGCCATATTATTAACAATAATTTGACCACCATTGAGACTCATCACTGCACTGCCTTCGGGTTCGGAATCCGTATAGCTGGAATAGTTGCGTACGGGTTTCGTTTTCTTCCATGATTGTCGCAGTGAATCATTGACATTGGCATAATGATTGACAAAGGAATGTGGATCAGAGCGCACGCTCTCATTTTCGCTCTCCGAATGCTGGAATATGAAGAGAAATAAAACATTAGATAGAAAATCAAAGACTAAATTATTTAATTTAAATATTTAAGTTTTTTTTTTGACGAAAATAAAAAATAGTGGAAATCGGGGTCAGTAATTTTTTAAAACCATGAATCTCGAAGTAATCCAGAGCTCTACACAAATCTTTAAAGCTGTATATAAAATGTTGTGAAATACATCTCAAAATATAGGCTTTATAAAAGTTTGGGCAAAAAACCCAGTACTATTAAATCTGCTAGGTATTTCAAAAGCCCAGAGTGGATATTGGAAGAAAATTTACACGACTTCGGAAAAAGACTATATTTGCCGCAACAAAGAAAAAAAAAATGCTTTCACAAACCGAAATTAATGATATTTTTCTACGGCACATATCAAGTATAAAAAATTCTTTTCTTCATAGACCCACATTGAAATTCGATCTAGAATATTTTCCCAAAAAATCAAGGAAATTTTGACTTAAAATGGAAACGCATTAAATTAACACTAAAACATAAACACATAGTTTTCATTTGTAATACCGGCTGAGATGAAAAAACTGCAACCAACTTCATACTGCTGTCAAGTGGCTATCGTTAGAGCACTTCAGCATTTTAATGTGAATAAATCTTTTGTCCGACGTCCAGGAAGTGGACAGAAGAAAACAGTAACATCAGCAGAAATGGTTCGAAAAGTAAAGAACCGACTTGATCGAAACCCGCGTCGCAGTGGCCGAAAAATGGCTCTTGGACCGAACATATCGCAATATTCCATTTGTCAAATATTGAAGCCAAATACTGAGCCATTGAAATTCCAAAAAGTACAAGAACTTACACTGCAACTGGAAAAAATAAACTCATAAGAGCTAAAGAGTTGCTTTACTTGGCCGAAAGTGGTGAACTGTCGAATTTGGGTTTCTCCGATGAGAAAACATTCGTTGTCCAGCAGTTTGTAAACAAACAAAATGATCGTGTTTACTTGCCAAACAGATCAGAAATGTGTACCTTCGGTTGGAAACCAGAACTCAAGCGCTGGCCATGGTGATTGTGTGGGCCGCCATAACAGCCGATGGTCTCTCTGCGCCCGTATTAATCGACGGTGGTGTAAGAATAAATGCCGAATATTATCGCGAAAATATTCTGGATGATGTATTAAAGCCTTGGGCATGTAAACATTTTGGACGGAGACCTTGGACATTCCAACAGGACTCAGCACCATTGCACTCAGCACGCGCCATCCAAGAATGATTACAATATGGGATTCCTCAATTCATTTCCAACGCACAATTGCCACCAAAATCTTCGGATACCAATCCGTTGGACTATTGTGTCTGGAGAATTTTGGAAAGGAAGTTGGGCTCTTAAACATACCAAAGTTTCGATCACCTCAAGCAAGCGCTTCGCCTGGAATGGGCCAAAATACCGCAGAACAACATTCGGGCAGCGTGTGACGATTTCATTGGCCGTTTGAAGGCCACAATTCGTAGCAAAGGTGACCAATTCGAACTAATCTAAACTTATTTCAAATTTGATGCTATTTCCGACATTTTTTGCTTTCATTCATAAAACTTAAAAAAATGTAAAAATTATGGCGTTTAACTTTGTTGCAGTTTTTTTATCTCACCCTGTATATGAAATCCTGGCGTTTAGTTAAGATTTAGACTCTTGACGTCTTCTAGGACCTATAGTAGTTGACAGGCTACGACCACATTTAGAAGTCCTTTCTACGTATTTTGAAAAGCCTTGTATTTTTATCTATAATATTGCCAGAGACACTATACATATACCTAAAACACACAGGTTCCGGAGAGGATGGAACTTGTTCCGATACACATTTTTTTGTGTTGCATAGTGTTAAATAATCTCTTACGTTATTACTACATAGATTATTATTACACGACTTATAATTTGAATACGAAAATTCAAAGTGCCAAAAATCGCCATAACAAACTTACCTGCGACGCTTCCGACGAGCTAACCTCGGATGGTTTTTCTGTTACACTGCTATCATCTGGATTTTCATCGTAACATTTTAGGCTTTCCTCATCGCTGTGATAAGCCACCGATGCAGGAGATGGCCGGGGCGGACTTTTACCCAGTTGAACATTATTTGGTGGTCGATTATTGTTCTTACGGCCCAGCGTACCCAATGTGCCGCGACTCAGTGTACCCACACTATTAAGGGTACCAGTGCCCACACCATGACGTGAACGATATAATTCTAAGGCTAGTTCTTGGCGCTCATCAATAGACATGGCCATTGATTCTTCCAGTGTTTTTTGAGCTTCCTCTGAAATTACAAAAAAAAAAAAAAAACATGTATTCATAATTTGTTTGTGGTCCCAAAGCAAAAAAAAAAACAACAATCACTTACGTTTATATTTATAGCTTTTACTCTTAACACACAATACTGCAATAACCATAATTATAATCACAATGGAGGTGGCAGCCAATGCAACCATAAACCATGTTTGACGATAGAATGGCTTATGCTGTAGATAACCGTATTCCAAATGCAATTTGGAGGGTGTCAATATTGAATCCTTTGAATAGACTGGGAATGATATGCCATAACGATTATAGGCAATCACCCGGAAAGTATAGGCAGTCGAGGGCAACAGACTTTGGTAACTGACTGTAAAGTCTTGTATGGTACCGGTGGTGGTTTTCGTGATTGTCTCCCAACGGGAGTCGTCTATATGGGAAAATAAAATAAATGTATCAGTAATTGTTCTTTGACTAGTTTTTTTGTTGTGGTTTTATTTCTACGAAATTAGAATTAGATTAGCACTATCTAGGGTTGGGCTTGAAAGAGTTATTCTATACAGCATTAGTAAAGGATATATGCTTACTATAAATGTATCTACGAGAAAAGTTAATAATATTTGGGATAACTACAGCATGGAGAATTTATTATTTTTCTCTATGTATGGCTAATACTTACAAATAAATGATGGTTCGCCTCGTTCTACAAAAGCAGTTTTAATTTTAACACCAGCATAGCAAAAGTTATTTTTGAGTGATTTAAGAAATAGATTTAAAAAGAGAAATTGTAAAAAATAAATAAAATTTCCAACAACCAAGTTTGAGGAATAGAATTCCAAACAATATTCATTTGCTATTATTATTATTTTGGTTTAGAGTAGAGAAAAGAAGGATTGTGATTGGAATTTCGTAGCCAAGGCAATTCATTGTGTAAAATCTTCATTCGAACGGTGCTATTTTCAATTTTCATTTCGATAGTTTTATAATGCCCAGATTTTATTTTTAGTTTTACAGTGGAGCAGTATTTGTGTTAGACCCAATTTCATAAGAATGTGTTAGAGTTTCTTGGAAGGATCAATTGTTATGCTATGCTCCACATTTGATATCGAGTTTTTCTACCGAAATTTACATTAAGCTGTAATTTGTACGGAATAAATAATTTCGATAAAAAAGGTTTAGTATCGAATGCGACAAGGCATCTTGTGTCTGGTATTGGATGAAAAAAATTATAATTTTTCAATGAATTATTCTGGAATAAAACGACAGATTTTTTACATTACTTTTAAGTATAATCTGTGCATTTGCTTGTATTATTCTTTTAGTTTTTGTGTTATCAATCATGTTTCCAAGGCATTTCAAAACTATAAATTGAAAATAGCACACAATTTGCCACTTAGATTAAATTCATGCATTTTTGAAATCTTAAAAATCTACTCCATTCATGAGTTTTAAATTGTAATATTTAATAAAATTATCAAACAATCCTTCCACCATTTTTTAAATCTTAAAATTAAAAAATATGATTTTTTTAATCAAAATCCATTAATGCAGGATAAAAGAAAATACCTTCAATTCCCAGAAATACTATTTGTTTTAAATACTCACCTCGCTTCTTGGCCTCGATATAATAGCCCAATATGGGTCCGCGCCCTGAAGGTCCATTTAACCAATGCATTTCTACACTGGATAATGTCTTGGATAAAATCAAATCACGTGGGGCAACCGGTGAACCGTCCTGGGGCCCCGTTTTGACATTTTCACTAACTGCAGGACCATAATCTATTGTCTGAGCCCTGACGGTGAAGGTGTAGGTTACTTCCTCTTCCAGATTTTGTACCAACAAACTGGTACCCGACACTTTTTGTTTGACTTGTTTGCTGAATTCTGAAAATTTAAAAACATTTTAAATTAATTGAAAATCAACAGAACGTTCAACTACTCACTTTCATTTTCTTCGGTGGTCTCATAGGTCACTAAATACCCCAATATTTCACCGTTTTTGAACTTTGGCGGATCCCAGGACACCTTAAGCGATTGCATTGTTATATCTTCGAAACGTAGATTTTGTGGTGCACTTGGCAGGCCTTGTAGTGTTTTCACGGTTATTGGTGCTGATCGGGGTCCATCTCCGGCGGGGTTAAATGCCAATATTTGTATCCGATATTCAGTGAATTTATCCAAAAAGACCAAACTATGAGATGTGGCCGTGGCGGATACTACTTCAATTTCTTCTTCCCATGTTTTACCATCCTCAAGTTCTTGCGGTGAATCGGTTACCAAATAGAATATTTTATAACCCAACAGATCTCCGTTTTGCATACTTTGCTTTGGTGGCTTCCAGCGCAAACGTACCTCGGTGCTAGATATGGGTGCGGCATCAACAGCTCTAGGTTCTCCCGTTGGAACAGCCTCTCCCACGTAAACTGCTACAGGTGGGGTTGCTGGACCCGGTCCCTGGGAATTGAATGGTAATACCACAATCTCATAGTTGCGATCTTGTTGTAGATCCGATAACACCACCGAATCAATGTTAATACCCATAACATCGGTTTTGGGTGTGGCTTGTAAGGCTGTGGGGAAATCGGAAAGTTGTTGATACAATATGCGATAGCCTCCCGTTGTGGCATCACCATTCCACATGGATGTTTCCAAGGCATTCCATTTCACTCTGACCGAAGTTGTTGTAATTGGCACGACTTTAAGATTGGTCACCGAAACCGATGGAGCTGCCGGCAATGTTCTTACAATTATACTCTCCCTACTAAAGGCTGATGGTCCCAAATCATTGGTAGCTTGAATTCGGAATTGATAAGTTGTATGCGGTTTTAAGTTCGTAGCTGTATAAGAGGTCAGTGAGGGATCAACTCTTTCTGGCAGCAATGTCCAGGGACCTTCATTTTCACGCATTTGCACGGTGTAATACCTCAGCGGGGCAAATCCATCCCTTCCTGGCGTCCAATTGAAGGTAATTTGATGGGCCTGTATTTGACTTCGGGATATTTGAGGCATTGAAGGTGGCTGAGGACGATCACGATTATTGGTTGTGTAAACCAATACGGATGCTGTCTTGCCCCAACCCAAGCGAGTCTGGGCGGTAACACTGAATATGTAATAACGTTCCGCCAAGAGTTGGGTAGCACGGAATGTACGGTCGGATGGTGAAAATTCACGACTATAGTTCAAGCTGGACGTTCCGTTCAGGGAATATGTCACTTGGTAAGCCAAAATTTCACCATTTGGATCTTCAGGAACATCCCAAATAATGCGAGCTGTGGAGAACGATACATCCGGGAAGCTGACATTTGAGGGTGCACCTGGGGTGTCTTCAAATGTTTGTACTCTTACAGGTGGTGTACTCAATGCACCATCGCCAAGGCGAGTAAATGCCAATACCTGGATGTGATAGATCACGAATTTTTTAAGTTCCGTTAGGGTGGTGGTAAACGAACTGTTATTTGGTATGGTTTTGTGCAGCACCTGACCTCCACGATTTGTGGCAGCATAAAAGACTTTGTAACCATCAATTTGTCCATTGCGATGCTGCTTGGGCACCTCGCCCCATTTGACGACAATCGTGGTAGACGATGTGGCATTCGCTTGTACATCCAGAGGGCCATAGGAGGGTACGGCCTCCCTAGTCCTTTCCACCGCAATAACGCTTTCCCGCGATTGCCCCACATCATTGCAGGCCGTCATGGAAACCTCATATACCGTCCATTCCTCGAGATTTTCAAGGACATGTGAGTTGGCCGTATGATCTTCTATGAGTACGCTTTTTGGAGTAACGCGATTTTCACTTTCCACCTGCCTGTATGTTATGTTGTAGCCCCGAGGATTACCATACCATTCCGTTTGCTGTAGGGGAATCCAACGTACCCGCAATTGAGTAGCTGACATTGCACGAACGGTAACATTGAATGGTGGATGCATCGGTCGAGCTTGTATGGTCTGGAAATCCTTGGTAGGCTCGGAAGCTTTAGATGTTCCCACCACATTTGTGGCACTTAGACGCAAACGATATTGGGTGAATGGTGTTAGACCGGTTACGGTTAGTGTCTCAGCATCTGGATCGGATATTTCACATACCGTAAACCAGGTTAGATTGCGGGCAGTTTGAGCTTCCACTTTCCATTTGGTAATTGAGGAATTGCCATCAAAGCCAGGAGTGAATTGTAAAACGACCGAAAATGCCTCGATGTTTGACAGGGCCAAATTTGTGGGAGGATGTGGCAGTACTGGTTCAACCCCTGATTGTATGGTTGCAGTTTTGGGTGGACCACCACCTACCCGGGTCCATGCCCGAATTTCGAACCAATAATGTGTGGTGGCCTGTAGCTGATTAACCACCAACTGAGTATCTTCGGCTGTTAAATTGACGGATCTCATTGTTTCCGGGCGATCTTTGACTTGGTGACGCACTGTGTAGCCGGTCAAAATGCCATTTATATTTTTGGGCGGAGCCCAAAGCACCGTAACCGAACGATCAGAGACATCATCAAAATGCAAGGCAGTTATTTCATCGGGTACATCTTCTTTGGTTTTAACCGGTATGCGGAAGCTACGCACACCATCACCGGGATCGGTGAAACACAATACGGTAATATTGTAGTCATGGAACTTCTCCAAACCCGCCAGTGTGGCCGATTGTTCGGCCAAGGGATCTAATAAACTGGGTGGCACCGTCATCATTTTCTCCTCCACTTCACGTTCTTCGCCATCAATTAGTTGCGTACGCCAGGCTTGGATTTTATAGCCTTGATTTATGCCATTTATTTGCTGGGGATTTGGTGGTGTCCATGTCACCTTAACGGCAGTGGAATTTATGGCCTGTACCTTAACATTGGTGGGAGGGGCTTCGGGTACACCTTCTTTGGTTTTGATTTTAGCACCTTCCGTATAGACACCAACGCCCATATTGTTGTAGGCAGCAATTTGTACTATATAATCCTTCCATGTTATTAGCTCTTGTATCAGATAGTTTCGTTGGGCCTCATTTGTGATATTCTGATACATCCAGGGTACATTGTTGTAGCCATATAGACGATATCGTATAATGTAACCGAGAATTTGTCCATTTCGATGTTCCTCCAATGGTGGTTGCCATTGTGTTATAATTTCCGATTGTGATCGGGCTGAACCGACAAATCCTACCGGTGGACCAGAGGGTGCTAGATGGAGATCAAGAAAAATGAATTAATATTGAAAAGAGATATTGTTTCGATTATTAAACTTATATTATTGAGAAAAGCTTATACAATTGATTTAATTTTTTATACACAATATATACCTCGATGTAGCGGTAATTCTACGATTTTTTTGTTTAATCACAGATGCAGTGAAGGGTAAAGAGAAATTTAGCATGAATATATAGCATTAATAGAGGGATCAATTATTGGCATTGGCAAACCAAAAAAATTAAAGAATTTTTGATAAAAAAAAACTAAATAAATAAAATTGAAAAAAGTCGAAAAAAAGATTTGTTGTTCGCATTACTCTACTGTGCACGTTGTTTTCTAGCAATATAATTTTAGCCTATTAAATTTTATATTTTATACATTTACATACAAGAATCTTCTTGTCTAATATATTAACGACTTTTTACAGAGATTCTACTACGGAACTGTTACTAATCTAAAGATTTTAACACACTGTAGATGTGTACGATAACCTTATATTTTTTTGTACAAAATGTAGTTCCATAACCCAAAAGTGTAGTAAATGAGAGCGAGTTAAGAGAGCAATTTTGACAGTTGAGTTACTGAGAGTTTGAAAAATCTTATTGGAAAAAATGTACTTAGTGAGAACTATCCGTTAAGATCGGCTGATTGAAAAACAAAAAATTGGGATTTTAGCTAATTGGCCGTTATTTAAACGGGTCCGTGATATAGGGATTTCAAAAAATCTTTAAAATTGAAATTAGTTCCTGATTTTTTCCAACTTAGCACATCCCAAATTTTCGACCGAAATTGTTATGGCCTTTTATTCAAGAAATTGAGAGGACATTTTTTTTTTAAATTTCAACAATTTTCCAATTTTTGAAAAATAACGAATGTCATTTAATTCAAACTATGTATCCGATTAAGTTCAATTTTGGACATTAGAAAATGTGGTCAAGACCCTCGAAAGAGGTAAAATCTGGAGGTAAAGATACTTCCGTGAGGGCGCTACTCCAAAAAATGGACTTACATTGAGATTTTTTTTCAAAGATTGAATGCCCAAGAATGGATTAAATCGGATACATCGTTCGCCACATGTCACTCGTTTTTCTTCAAAAACTTAACAATTGACATAGAAATGGTTGAAATTTTTATTTTTTTCGCACTTTCCAATTTCTTGAAAAAAGGCCTAACAATTTCGGTCGTAAAATTGGGATGTGCTAAGTTGGGAAAATAAGGAGCTAATTTCAATTTTAACGATTTCTCAAAATCCCTATATCACATCCTGATTAAACAATTGTTGACCCCTCAAACGGTGCTGGCTTCAAAAACATGTTATAAGGTTTATAAATTTTCAAAATTTTGAAACTTTGAGGAGGAGAATGAGTGGTCCGCTCATTTTCACACGAGATCTTGTATTGGTAGGAATATTGGGATGTGCCGAGTTTGAAAGAGTCGAATGCTCTTGTTGCATTTCATGATCGTTATGATTACTTTAAATTTTGACCCGTTCCTATCTTCAAACCATATTTGGAATTGGTAGAAATATTGAGATGTGCGAAATTTGAAGATAATAGGACTTATACTTTTTACTACAGGGATAATTATTCAAAATATTAACCCTTTGTGGGGGAAGTATTAGAAGAACTGTACCGATACTAGAAGAACTGTACCGTCTGATCTCACATTTATACAAATGGTCATCATTTCATTTCTCTCATTCTCATTCTCTCATTTCTCTTTCTATGAAAATAAAATCCATGTTGACCTATTGTGGGGGAGGTACCGGAAGTAGTGGACCGATTTTGATCACCTCCGAGCTCGATCTAAGTTTAAGTCTTAAGCCGTAATTTTTATAATGCACGCCATATGACTAAGGGTATCATTAAATCGAGGCCCGAACTAACATTGAGTAAACAACACGCACAAGTCTTTGAGAGAAGCTAGTGGAGCAAAGGGTCTTTTGTATATATCATCATAACGGATTGCTAAATATTGATCTAGGATATTTAACCTTTTTTTAAAATCTAACCGAGACACGAAATTTTGGTAGCTCTATAACTATTATTAATAATAATAATTTTGTTGCTCTGGTTTTTTTGTAACTCAAAAAGTACACAAACACTAATTAAAATTGAAAATGAATACTAAATAATTCAAATATTTACAAATAAATTCGATATTCAGACTTTCTGTTATAAAAATAATACAAAATAATAAAATTCAAAAAATTTCGAAATTAAAAAAAAAAAATTGAAATTTTTGTTAAACCGGAAGTAAATTAAAAATGGATTTTTCGATTAAAAAAAATAATTCAGAAAGTCTGATTAAAATAAAAATTATATACATTACAACTCACCTTCCTGCGGCAACTCCACAACATTACTGGGTTCTGAGGGAGAACCCTCACCAACTTGATTAACGGCACTTACGCGAAATTGATAGACTGTGGCCGCCTTTAAACTCTCCAATAAAATCCAACGATTTTCGGCCGAAACATTACTTAGCTCGGTTATCCAATTGAGGAAGGGATCTGGTACGGGACCTACGAATTTTTCTAATGGCGTTAATGATTTGAAAATTATGAGAGAAAAGAAAAAAATAAAGAAAAGAAAAATGTTAAATGGGAAAAAGGGTTAAGGATGGGGAGGCGAGGTTATTATGAGGAGGAGGACGGAATTGAAATGATAAAATAAACCAAAAAATGTTTTTCAGGTGCAAAGAGTAAATGTTTTGTATTTTCATATTTCATTTCAAACAAGGACGACAGAGAGCGAGAGGAGCAAAGTGCATCACAACATTTAGAAAACAATGAAACGAAAATTAAAATTGAAAAAGAATTGTAAATAAAAAGCAATCAAATGGAAAAATAAACGGAAATCGATGAAAGCAATTTAGCAACAAGGAAATAAAGGATCAAACAAATAAACGGAACGGCCATCAGCGAGCCGGCCAACCAATGCAATTCGGAAACAATGAAATGTAGATTAAAAAATAAATACATATATAGTTTTTGTTTTGATTGGTTTTAGGCATCAGGTGGAGGTGGTGAGGCGTAGCAGGGGTAACAATGTTGATGATGGAGATGTTGTTGAGTGGTGTGATAACGACAATGATTGTTGGTGGGTTTTTGTTTTGAGAGAGATCCAAGTTTTATTCCCGAAAACCCAAGTACATGAGAAAATGGAATGGTGAAAGAGTGTTGGGTGTTTTTACGGTGGGTGGATGGATTGATGGGTGGGTGAATTGAATAACCGGAGAAGACAGCACATCCATTGCCATGTGTGTAGATTTGTTGGTGTTTGCATTTGTTATATGGGAAATTGTTTTGCATTGTTTTATTTTTCGTTTTGTTGGTAATATGTGTGTGGTAATGATGTTGTTGTTGTTGGTGGTGGTGTTGTTTTAAAGCCAAAGTTTTTGACAACGTACGCACGCACACACATAACGAGAGAAAAAACAAGAAGAAGAAATTAAAAAACATAAAAACCATTATTTTTGTTGTTAGGTTGTTTTCTTTTCTTTTCTTTTTTGAACAAAAAAGTATTCGAACAATGCAAGCAAGCGTTTACATGTAGCCTGTTTAAAAATAGCTTTAATCTTAAAAATTGCAAATATATTCGTACAGAAATACAGTCGACTCGGGATAATTGGAATTTTAAAACCAGTAAAGGAAGGCCAAAGTCGGACTGGGACGACTTTATGATACCCTACACCATTAACAAATAACCTTTTTTATGGGAAATTTATGAGCATTAAAACATACCACCTATGATTACTTAAGCAGTTATAATTTAAATTCGAAATGAACTAATATTTGATAGGCTTCCATCGTACTGAACTGATATTCATCAAAATACATCCTTTTGAGTTGATATTACATTTTTTAGACACAATACACGTAAAATCGGATGAAGATATATATGGGATCTATATCCAAATCTGAACCGATCTCTATAAAAATTAGCAGAGGCTATTCTATTCTGTATCTGATAGTTGGCACTAAATATCGTTGTTGTGGAGAGTATTTTATGGGTGTGAGGGTGTAGAATACAAAATCGGATGAAACAGATATATGGGACCTATAGCTATATCTTAACCGATTTTCACCAAATTTGATACAGTATCTTCCATGAGGAATTCGTTCATATGTGCCAAAATCCATTCAATTCGAGCTAATATTAACCATTTGGTGCACAATAAACTGGAAATCGAGTGAAGATATATATGGGAAATATATCCAAATCTGAATAGATTTCTATAAAATTTGGCAAAGGTATTTCTGAGCTGAATTTAATATGTTTCTCCAAATATCGTTGTTACGGCTGAGGGGAAGTAATTTACTAATCGGATGAAGAATATACAGGGTGAAATACAAAAACAGCTACACAGTTAAACGACATAATTCTTAATTTTAAATTTTATTAAATGAAAGCAAAAATGTCGCAAATAGCATCAAATTTTAGAATAGGTTTAGATTTTGGCCAATGAAACCGTCATACGCCTCCCAAATGTTGCTCTGCGGTATTTTGGCCCATTCCCGGTGAAGCGCTTGATTGAGGTGATCGCCACTTTGGTATTTCTTATTGCAAATCTTGCTTTCTAAAATACTCCAGACACAATAGTCCAACGGATTGGTATCCGGAGATTTTGGTGGCCATTGTGCGCTGGAAATGAAGCGACGAACCTCAATTTGTAACCATTCATTGGTGGCGCGTGCTGAGTCCTGTTGGAAAGTCCAAGGTCTGCGGCCAAAACGATTGCGTGCCCAAGGCTTTAATACATCCTCCAGAATAATTGCGCGATAATATTCGCCATTTATTCTGGTGTCACGGTCGGTTAATATGAGCAAAGAGCGACCATCGGCTGTTATGGCGGCCCACACCATAACCATGGCCGGCGCTTGAGTTCTGGTGGCCAACCGAAGGTGCACATTTTCAGCTGACCTCTTTGTCAAGTAATCACGATCATTTTGTTTCTTTACAAACTGTTGGACAGGGAATGTTTTCTCATCGGAGAAAACCAAATTCGGCATTTCAATACTTTCGGCCCAGCGAAGCAACTCTTTAGCTATTTTGAGTCTATTTTCTTTCTGTTGCGGTGTAAGTTCTTGCACTTTTTGGAATTTTAATGGCTTTACCCCGAGCTCATTTTTCAATATTTGCGATATGTTCAGCTCACGAGCAATTTTTCAGCCACTGCGACGCGTGTTTCTATCAAGTCGCTTCTTCACTTTTCGAACCATTTCTGCTGATCTTCCCCCCACTTCCTTGTAGCCGGGATACGCTACCAGTATCACAATAACGACCGATTATACGAGACACAAAAGATTTATTCGCATTTAAATGCTGGAGTGCTCTAACGATAGCCACTTGTGGTTTTCCAGCCAAATTTAAAGAAATCACACTATTCAATTCAATCGCGAATAACTTCTGGAAAATTCTCACCTAAATGCTTTTGTGCGCTTGTTAACAATATAATGAGCTGTCACTGGAATAATTTTAACAGATGTCGGACGGATGTTGCTTAGAAATGACAGCAGTCTGAAGTTGGTTGCAGTATTTTCATCTCACCCTGTATATAATTTATCGCTTAGAAAATAAAAGTTCACAAAGTATTTTTTTTTCTGTTCAAAAATATCAAAAAATATTTTATTCAAAATATCCTAAATTTTTTTGTAGAATCTCAAGACTTTTTGCCCCCGTAAAGCCCAAATTGCCCCGATTTATCTGTGATTATATACTTGCACATTTCCTATAGTTATAAATATTTTTTCAGATTCGAAATTTTTTATTCAATAAGCCTTCTTTGAATTCCAATTATCTGGAGTCGATTATATTTGCATGGGGTTTGTTTTCTTATTCTCTAAAAAAGTTTTCGCTGAAATTTATTCAAAGCCGTGGAAACTTTGTTGTAGACATGCATATCTTAACTAACACACACACACACACACGCACAAAAGCATACATACACACAAATAAAAATAATAAATATATTTTATCGCTTTATGTACCGTGAAAATATTCCTTTAGATATGGTTGTAAACATCAACATTAAAACTTTGTTTAATTTTGGGACAAAAATGTACACAATTAATTACATACGTAAAAAGTTGACAAAAGGGCTATTAAATATTGTTTTGAAAGGATTTTTTGACTGCAGTTTCAGACAGAGCGGATGAAACGGAGCGATAAACCTGATTAAATGTTATTTGATATTTATTTAATATTGGTGTCCCTTGACGATATTTTCAAAGTTTCGGTCGGTTTGCAATGAAATCAGCTATCATTTAACATTTCGAGTTCTCAATAAATAATTTAACTCCTGATTTTGTCGGAAGTTTTTAAAGAAGTTTGCACCTCACATAACTGTAGCCGTAGTTGATTTTCGAAATGATTTCCTTTCTCAATTTCCAAACAAATCAATCAGCTGTAATCTGATATTTCGGATGCTCTCTACGTTGAATTACTTCTTGCAAAAGACATTCAATGTAGGTCCACTTTTCTAATTTGTAGGCTTCGTAACTATTTCCAATCAAATCAGCTGTAATTTGACATTCAAAGTAAAAATTCATTAAAAAAAAAAAAATCAAAAATCAAAAAAAAAAAAAAATCAAGTGTCCCCTTTTTGATATTAAGAACTTTCGGTCATCTTTTCCAATCAAATTTGCTGTACTATGAAATTTCAAGTTTCACAAAAAAACAAAAAAAAAAAAGAATTTAAAAATTTCCAAGCATATCAGTTATAATTTGATTTTTTAGGTTCTCTCTGGGTAGACTTACTCCTTGCTGGCCGGCACTTTCTGGGAAAAGATTTCAGATCGCTCACCTCCATGGCGAAATCAGATCTAATATTTGTGGTGGAAATCATCACAGGTCACTGTAACATAAGAGCTATGACTTTTTAGTGCAGTGACGACGCCACCGATTTCTGCAGGTTTTATCAGGCTGAGGGGGAAACTGAAACGGCAGAGTACTTATTCCAAACAATTACGGTTTATAAGTCGCTAAAATCGTCAAAATACCGAATAATGTGAGGTACCGTTATATGAGGGGGGCTATCCGAAGAAAAGTGACTGCATATGTAATTTCTTATCATATGCTGTAATACCAATTAAAACCTTCAGTTACGAACTTTGAAACAATTCCGATGAATAATGTCGCTAAAATCATCAAAATACCGAATATAGGGAGATACCGTTAAATTTTAGCCTTTTATCTCGATTGGTTCAGAAGATAGCGTGATTCGAATTTGCTGATCCAGAATTTTACGCTGATCCAGAATACGTATGTATTTCGAGGAGTTACAAACGGGATGACAAAGTTGATATGGTGGAGGCTATAAAAATTGAAGCTATATCCTATCCTAAGTCCTAGAAGGAAAGGACTTAGGATCAAAATGGAATATATAGCTTCAAAATGGAATATATTGGCCTTCTGAATAATAATCAATTAATAGTTTTAAAAATTTTCCGATTCTTTTAAAAATTTTGGTTTTGCGTTTGATAATGAAAAAAGGTAATCATATTAGAAACCAAATCCAAATCAAAATATTGTGGAACAAATGAATCCACAAGACCATAGCTACAAGGTTGTATTCTTAACATTTAATAAATTTGGCCTACCTTGTAATTATTATATCATCGTCTTATCCAATATCATGTTTATGCTACACTTCATTCACATGTTTTTTTTATTTTTAATTTACCTATAACTCCAAATTATATTTGCTCTGATTTTGCTTTTTTTCATGGCACACAAATTATTCTACCTTTTTTCCTGTTGTCATTTCGAAACTATTAAACTTTTTTTTTGAATGACACATAAAAAAATCTGACACGAATATTTTCACAATAAAAGCGATAAAATGTCAATTTATGTTTATATTTCGTGTAATACATAATAACACATCAAAGAATAACGATAACACCTAAACATGATAAGCGAACGAATCCTCTGGCAACCCGTAAAATGCGAAATGAAACAAAGAAAAAATAAATACACAGCAAACATGTGCTTGTTGTAACACACATACATACATACACACACATTCAGACACTTACAGACTAGGAACACTCATGCAAAACTCCATTAGGGAATTGTAAAATATAAACATACATAGATATATGTGTGAATGAATGTACGTTTGAACTTACCCAATTCCGACACTTCACGCCTTTGTATAATAAACTTCGATATTGGACTATTGCCATCGAAGCCCGGTGTCCAGGATACATTTATGGCACGTTGGTTGGCACCCTCCAAACGTGTTGCCTTCACATTGGACGGTGGAAATGGTAGTTCGATGACACTCAAATGGGCTGACCGTGTTTCATTGCCACCCGGCGAGGTAACAACACAGGCATAGGTGCCCACATCGGAGGCTCGTACCGCTTGTATTTCCAATGTACCATCGGACTGTACACCAATGCGCTGCGAATTGCTAATGGGCGTTGGATGACCTTCACGATACCAATCGATATTGTAGGGCACCGTTGGATCACTGGAGACTTTGCACTGCAACGATGCGGTGAGGCCCAATAGAACTGTGGTGTCAACCGGTGGCTGAATGATTTGTGTGCGAACTAGAAAATTGGTGTGGAGAAAAAAGGGGACATAGAGCGAAAAAACATTAGTAAACATTGGAAAACACGAGAGTATTGTAAAAAAAAGTATCTCCAATAACCCATCGATGAGAGAGCGAGAGTTGTGATGAGTTCAAAAAAATTGTGTTTCGTGAGAAATGAAAAGAATGTTTCTTTCAACTGCATTCTGTGATGATTTTATGTTTTTTTTTTGCTTTGCATGACACGAATGATATATGCCGTATGTATGTTTGATCTACATATACTTGATTTTGGGGAATTGTTTCGAAATACTGAGAATGAATCAATGCAATGCAGTTTGAATATTTGGCATTGTTTTGAGATATTTTTGTGTGTGTGTGTTTCGTTTTGTGATTTGTTAGTCCCACAATGACGTAGTTGATGATGATGATGATGAAGTTGGTAGTATAAACTCGAAAAACATTGAAAATTTATGTTGTATAGGTATAGAGATGGGAGATATATATTTATGTATGTTTGTGCTAAGATGAATTGCCAATTCGAAGTGAACAAGTGAAAGTATAATTTATTTTACTGAAATGTATTTCAAAAATTTCATTTGTTATTCGTAAATGGGCATTGAAATGCAGCAAGAATTACTCTGAAATTTTGGTATTGAAGTTCATGAAAGACATGACTAGGCAGAGAATATATTAAAATATTTTCCTATGAATCTAAAAATTTAAAAAAATGAAAATTTTAAACCAAAACTTTTTAGATGTGGAAAATAAATTTTTCGCGTGTTTTGGTTATATCCTCCAAAGTCGAAGGATTTTTTTACTTCTACTTTTAATACAAATAAGTTGCAAAAGGTATCCTCCAAAGAGAAAATTCTTCATTTTTGAAAACGTGTCTTAGCATGTGCAATTTTTTTCTTCTTCTAGTTTCCAATATTCTTTTAACTTTCTAATATTAACTTAAATTACTTTCTTATAAAGACTAAACTTAAAATGTGAAATTTAGGGCAGACTTTTCACACACTTCTTAATATCTCTACCAATTTAGTATCTAGAGTAAAGATCTGTTAAATTTTTCTAGACACCTCCCCAGCAAAGGATAATAATTTTGAAAAATCCTCAACAAAAATATAGGCAACGATAGGCGTACACGATTTCGTCCAAACTTCGTAATATTGGCAAACAGCAGAAATAAGCTGAGAAAAATTGGGAATATCGGCCTCATACTCATAAAAAGAATATATAAGTTGTCACTTCGATTCTAAATACAAAAATGGGAAAAAACTATGATTTGGCTAGGTCGAGATTTTTAAACCCTTCCAGTGAAAACTTGACTTATAATAACACCGGTTATCCTCAAAATCACCAAAATTTGAAAATTTCAATGTATGGGCTCCATAAATCTATTGAAAATTTTTTTAAAGGAGTTGTTCTATCAACAAAATTCCAAATTTAAGATGATCAAAATACCAAAAATCAGGAAGTACCAATACCTACATTGAACACTTTTTTCTTTAATATTGGGGGCGTAACTTTCAAAATATAGAAAACCTGGGGGCGGAGTCTAAAAAGTGGACTTCCTTTATTGAGGATTTCAATAACCCACTGAAAATCCGAAATGTAAATTTACAGCAGATTTGTTTGAAATAGCAAATGTCCCAAAAATCAGGAAGTATCATTTTATGGCGGCCAAAAAGTGGACCTATATAAAGGGTGAGATCAAAAAACTGCAACCAACTTCAGACTGCTGTCATTTCTAAGCGACTCGTATGACAGCTATTAAAATTATTCCAGTGACAGCTCATTATATTGTTTGCAAGCGTACAAAAGCATTTTGGTGAGAATTTTCCAAAAAAAAAAAAAAAAATTATTCGTGATGGAATTCAAGCGTGATTTCTTTATATTTGGCTGGAAAACCACAAGTGGCTATCGTTAGAGCACTCCAGAATTTAAATGCGAAAAAATCTTTTGTGTCTCGTACCATCGCTCTTGGCCGTGATGCTGGTAGCGTAGCCCGACGTCAAGGAAGTAGAGGGAAGAAAACAGCAACATCAGCAGAAACGGTTCGAAAAGTAAAGAAGCGACTTGATCGAAAAGCCGCGTCGCAGTGGCCGAAAAATGGCTCGTGAGCTGAACATATCGTCATATTCCATTCGGCAAATATTGAAAAATGAGCTCGGGTTAAAGCCATTGAAATTCCAACGATTGTGATTCTATGCAGATCATCAAAAGGAACTATGGGTCTATCTCGTTTCCATTTGCCTGTTACAAACAAATGCACAAAGACATAGTGCCCTGACCACCTTGTGGTGTAGGGTATAATGATCCCCATAGGTTCACCTTCTGGTAGAGCAGTTACATAATTTTTATTTTACAAACAATTTGACTGAAAATTAGTAATTTGGGTCAAATTTCGCCCAATTAAAAAAGTGGCAAAACCAAGCAATGTTTTTGGCCCATATAGCGTTACCGGCTGATTTTAAGTGTTCATAATTTTCGCCAATATTTTGCTCCCCAATCCATTTTTATAATTGAATTTTTCCCATTATTGGGGGTCTAAAAAATTTAACGCCGATTTTACCTACTGTTATTAAAAAAATCCCTTAAATTGGCAACAATGTTTGATTTGAAGGCCTTAACAGGTTTGGTTAGCGCCAAAATGACAATACATATAATGCAAACAATTTTTTCGCTGTCATTATTGTTCGTTTGGCATGATACCAACATTGTTTTGCATACGCATTTGCATAACCCATACATATCCACAACACCAAAGTATTACTGAGTGTGTGTGTGTGTGTGTGTGTGAGTTTGTGTGAAAAAGCCAAATTGTAATTAGCTTTTTGAATCTGCAAATTAGTTTTGGGCCAACAAAAGTCTGACGATCATAATGTCATTTTTTTTTGGATGGCGGCACCAGCATAACAACAATGGCCAATCAAGGGTACCTCCGAACAACTAGTCACCAAAATACTGCAACTGTTATAATAACCTGGATATGATCCAATTAAAATCATAGCAAATAAAATCCAAAGCAATCAGCAGTGCAGCCGTAGTGATTAACCAAAGTACTCTCACACACACACACACATACACACAGAGAAAAAATCACTTTAAACTTTGAAATGACCAGCAGCTAGGAAAGGATAAAAAGATTGGGAATATTATTAAAATTGGCATTGTTTTACGAAAAAAGGACAAACTTGCTTGAATGTAAAATGGCTCTGTGGTTGTGGTGTTACTGCTGCTGATTAGTTAGGGCCACCACACGTTAATACATTCAAACATACACATGTAGACGTGTGTGTGACATGATGGCATCTAATTGCATTCGAAATTTCAACTTTATATTAAAATGGCACGCCAAGTGGACATCAGCAGCATTACTACAATAATGATAATTGGATTTTTCGTCGTTTTGGCCAAACAATTTGGCTATCATATTTTGCTTTTTGTGGCCAACTGTTATTTGCCTACGAAGTGAGCTCTTAAGTGTTATGACTCCATTTAAATTTCGCACGTGATACGTTTTTCTTGTTTGTTTGTAATTAGATTAAAGTAAAGTGATGAAGTTGTAAAAATATTTTCATATTTTTTTGACACTGAAAAAAAGGGACCATTAAACTATTAAGATCGCCCACCGGAGGTCATAAAACTAAAATAGAATTCCAGTTGAATTGGTTGGTGTCACGATATGGTTCGGGGGGCATAGTTTACTTCAAAACCAAAATAAAAACCAATTTACATACAATTCCAATATAAACGTTTATTTGTTACGGGTAGCTCCACTAAATATAAAAAGAGGGGTTTAGGGTATAATTGTAGTAGCAACAAAAGAGAAAATCGGGGGTTTTTATGAGCTTTTTCTTAAAATCTCTTTCGTGTTTTTCAAAATTGTGCCACATAATAATTGGAAACTTCTCAGAAGCATTTAGAAAACAAGCCTAGTTTAGTAATAATTCTCGATTTTTTTTTATTTTTTCCAGAGGTAGGTATCAACATCCTGATTACCAGTCAGTATTTTTTTTTTTGGGGGGACGGATCCGGACTCCACCATATTTGAAACAAAAGTCCTTAAGGTATCATTTGAAAGCTAATGAATATACCTATCCCACAAGTGGTCACACATTATTTAAAACGGTTCCTAAGGTGTGTCAAAATTACTGATTTTTTGGACATCGATTTTCTAAAAAAAATCCCCCAAGAGTCGAAAAAGGTCCCAATTTCGGGGTCTACAAACTCTCGGATAACTCTCGAAAAGAGTATCCGATTTGGTCCAAACTCGGTACATCGTAATATTTTTGTCAAACTTAGATCGAGTTATGAGATGGGCAATATCTGTCCACTTCTTCTGGTACCTCCCCAAAAGGTGGCAATTTTTAAAAATATGTATTTTTCCTGCACAGAAAGAAAAACTATAATTCGATTTTGCTCCAACTTTGCAAATATAGGTTTGACTCCATCAAGTACCTCCCCCAAAAAGGATGAAAATTTTGAATAATTACTCTTATAAACTCTTATTAAATGTGATGTAGGTGTCCGATTGTCTAAAAATTTAACGCATCCCAATAACTTTATTTACCCAAGGTCGTTTTTGCTTCAATTCCGCAAAACCTAATATTTGCGTCAGTGCTAGATTAGGTGCGAAAATGGATAATATAGGTCCACACCATCAAGTACCTTCCCCACAAAGGGTTAAAATTTTGAATAATTACAACTCTTATAAAATGTGATGTAGGTGTCCGATTGTCTTTGAATTTCACACATCCCTATAATTGTATTAACCCAAGGTCTGGTGTTAAGATGGAATATATCGGTTCACTCCTTCTGGTACCTCCCCCAAAAAAGGGGGAAATTTTCAAAAAACCAAAAAAAAAAAATATTTTTTTTGCAAAGAAAGAGAAGCAATAATTCGATTTCGCTCCAACTTTGCAAATTCTAATATTTGCATTAGTTCTAGGTCAGTCGTGAAAACGGATAATATCGGTCGACTCCATCAAGTAACTCCCTCACAAAGAGTAAAATTTAGAATAATTATATCTCTTAAAAAATATGATGTAAGGGCCCGATTGTCTTCAAATTAAAAACCCAGGATCTGTTGTAAAGATGGTCCAATCCTACTGGTACCTTCCCCACAAAGGGTCAAAATTTTGAGTATTCATGAAGCTCATAAAACACGAAGTTAACATCCGATTCCATTCAGACTTGGCACGTCTTAATATTTTCATCAACACAAGATCTGTTGTAAAGATGGTAGAGATCGGACTACTCCTTCTGGTACCACCCTCACAAAGTATTCAAGATTTGAATTTGAATTTTTGCTAAGGTAAGATCTGTTGTGAAGATGATGTATATGTGCGAACCCCTTCTGGTACCTCAGCCACAAAGGCTCCTAATTTCAATACTTTCATCTGTCATAACTTGTGATACAAGTCGGAGATTCTTCTATATCTAAATATTCCTCTTAAATAGAAATCTCATATGAATATGTAATTTATCGGAATTTATGATTTCACATAAAAGCGACTATAAATGTTCGATTTTCTTGCAATTTTGCCATACCAATATCTCTATCTGTATTCGATGAATTATGAAAACGGAATTCTTCGATCGACTATATCTGGTACCTCACTCGCAATTTAATTTTTTTAAATTATACCATATCTCATAAAAAGTTAAGGAAGTTATCAATATATATAGTAAACCTGGCACGTCGCAATATTTATATTATATTTATTTAGGTCCGATACGAATGAACAATATTGGCCCATTCTTTCGAAGCCTACTCCATATAGGGTCGACAATTTGTATAACCATAATAGAAGTCAAAATATATTTAAATAATCGAACATTGGCTGAGGGTATACATCTGTCGGCAAAGGCGACTGATATTTTTTACTTGTTTTCTTAAATTTATGATAAAAAATCTCAATTTGAAAGCAATGTTCTTCAAAGTTTCAATATCTCCCCATCTGGAGAAAGTAAGTCAGTTAAATAAGTTAAAAGAACAAACAAAGGTCATATGTCGCTTTTTCTTAAATTTCAGAAAAACATTCGCAATTTGAAAACCTATGTTTTTAAGAATTTCAATATTTCCCCATTTGAAGGAAATTTCAATTTTAATTCAGCTAATTCCCTTAGCACGTGAATTAAGCTGTCAGAACAATGTAGAAACAAACAAAAATGTCGATGTCAATGAACAATGGAAGCAACATGCAATGTTTAGAGGTTAATGAAATGAAAAGAAAAAAATGCATTTTTATGTTTGATATGCGAAATTATGTGCGGCATTTACGTAAATGTTAGTTGGCATGTTAACTAGCTAGTTGCTGGGGTTTATGGTGCGAAGGGGATAGCAAATCCCATTGGTTATGGTGTAAAACAAATTATGTGTACTTACCCAAAACACCTAAATAGGCCTCACCATTCACGGTGCCGGCCTCATTCGAGCGTACACAGGTATAAAGACCAGCATCGGATTCGCGTACATTTGAAATTAATAAATCTCCAGATTCCAAAATTTGGATGCGGCTTGAAATTTCAACTAGGTGGGTTTCTGCACAGTGCAATGTGGAACATTGGTGGGGGGTGGAGTAGCCAAGGTTTGCGGATGGCGGATGTAATGTAAAGTTCAGGTAAAATGTTGTCAGCCAGCAGCATCAGCCATGTTGTTTGAATTCGTAGGTTGGGGCGAGGGGAAATATGCAAATTTGGTAAAGTTGGCAAAAATTTGCATTTAACACAGCAAACACCCGACACATATACACACAGGCGACACAGGATCCAAAAGGAATAGTTGTAGCGTTTTTTTTTCGCGTAACATGTTTGTTTGTTGTTGGCCATCGCATGAGTCCCCCCACACCAATACAAAAACCATCATCATCATCATCACGGTGATAATGGTGTTGTAATGATGATGTTTTTGTTGTTGTAAAATGTGGTAACGGCACCCATTAAGTCCATACACACAAGTTTCCACACACACAAGCAGGAGCAGAGAGAGAGAGGTATACCGCCAGGATAAATGGTGTTGTCGTCAGCATGTAAATGATGATGTGCATGGTATGTGGAGATGGTAATGTGTTGTCAATTGAGCGTTTTTCCATGTTTTTTTTTTTGGTTTTTGTTTTTTGTTGGGAATGCAGTAATAGTAGATTTTCACACCCACACCCACACCCACACACACACATGAAATTTTTTGTCAAACCCATGTATTTCCGGTTCGTCGGTCACCATTGCGTTACGCAGTTTGTTGTTTTGCAACCAAAACAAGCGACGAAAAAAAAACAGGAACGGAAAACGTGTATATGTTGGGCGCCACAATTGCAAGCAATGTGTAAATATTAAATATTGTCAATGGTTTGTGCCATTTGTGGCATGCCACACACCAGCACAAAAACGCCGACAGACAGTAATGTTGAATAAGGTGTTTTTTTTCCGCCAAGTTAAGTGCATATTATGACGCCACATAGCCAAAGTGTTTTCCATGGCATTAAGTTATGACGACGATGGCGATGATGACAGTAATGTTTTTATTGACGCACCCACACACACACATATTTTAATGTTGCATCAAATATTTATTGTGCCACGCATGTCAAGCATTATTGCAGCGTTGAGGCGAGTGTTTGCAGGGCGGTGCAATTAAAGTCATTTAGTTTTTAGATTGGACATTAAATTGTGGTTTTGTTGTTGGCAAAGAATTACAACAAAAGGGGGATCCACACAAATTTCGTTTCGACGGATTTCATGGATTTTGTACAAGTTGACCAGGGGGGGTAAAACACCCATATTCCAATGTTGGTGGTGATGGTGGTGCAAATAGGGATATGAGGTGCCACACAACGTCAAAAAGGTAATCCATTGAACGACCATTTAAAAATAGTTTTATGGCAGTTTTGTCGGAGTTTTTTTTTCGAGAGAGAGGGGATTTTGTTGGTTTTTTTGTTATGTTATATTATTATTTTTTTTTTGTAGCAATAATTCAAACATCCGTTTTATTGATAGTTTGAATTTGGTTAGTTAGCAGTTGGTGGTAAATTTGCAGTAGTTGTTGTTAAATTATTTGCATATAAAAAAAGGAGAAGAGAAAAAAAATGAATACGAATCTGTGATTAGTAAAAAATATATAATTTATAAAAAAATCCATATTTATGTCATGCAAGTAGTTTATCCACAACATAAAATATATATATTGTGGCCAAAGGCCATGTAGATTATTTTGACATTTTTTAGGAAACAGCAAATGTCAGTTAAAAATAATTTTAATAAAAATATTTGTTTTTATTTCTAGAAATTCATATAGGATTCAACACTGTTTTAGATAAAAAAAAACTCATATCATATTCCATAAGAGAATCTACGGGTATTCATTGAGATGTATATCAGGAAATTGATGCGGAGTTCCTTCAGGTTTTCCATCGGATGATCATCAGATCTTCTATGAGAAGACCATCAGATATTATAGGAAAAGGCCGTCAGGATTTCTGTGAGAAGACCTTTGGCTCTTTTATGAGCAAACCCTTTGGGATCTCCACCTACAGAGTGAGATGATAAAACTGCAACCAACTTCAGACTGCTGTCATTTCTAAGCCACTCGTCCGACAGCTGTTAAAATTATTCCCGTGATTGCTCATTATATTGTTTACAAGCGTACAAAAGCATTTAGGTTTTGGAATTTTCCAGAAAAAAAAAATAGTTATTCGTGATGGAATTCAAGTGTGATAGTGTGATTTCTTTATATTTGGCTGGAAAACCACAAGTGGCTATCGTTAGAGCACTCCTGCATTTAAATGAGAATAAATCTTTTGTGACTCGTACCATGGCTCGTTACCGTGATACTAGTAGTGTAGCCCGACGTCAAGGAAGTGGACGGGGGAAAACACCAACTTCAGGTTGGTTCGAAAACTAAAGAAGCGACTTGATCGAAGCCCTCGACGCAATGAACGAAAAATGGCTAGTGAGCTTAACATATCGCAATATTCCATTCGGCAAATATGGAAAAATGAGCTCGGGGTAAAGCCATTAAAAAAAAAAAACAAAACTTACAAGGCAACAGAAAGAAAATAGACTCAAAAGGGCTAAAAAGTGGCTTCGCTTGACCGAAAGTGGTGAACTGCCGAATTTGGTTTTCTCCGATGAGAAAATAATCGCTGTGCAGCATTTTGTAAACAAACAAAATTATCGTGTTTACTTGCCAAAGAGGTCAGCTGAAAATGTGCACCTTCGGTTGGCCACCAGGGTATGGTGATGTTGTGGGCCGCCATAACAGCCGATGGTCGCTCTCCGCTTGTATTAATCGACCGTGGCATCAGAAGAAATGGCGAATATTATCGCGAAAATATTCTGGAGGGTGTATTAAAGCCTTTAAACATTTTGGCCGCAGACCTTGGACATTCCAACGGGACTCAGCACCATCGCACTCAGCACCCGCCACCCAAGAATGGTTACTTACGCTTCATTTGCAGCTCACAAAGGCCACCTAAATCTCCGGATACCAATCCTTTAGACTTTTGTGTCTGGAGTATTTTGGAAAGCAAGGTTGGCACTAAAAAGTACAAAAGTGTCGATCACCACAAGCAAGTGCTTCGCCGGGAATAGGCCAAAATACCGCAGAGCAACATTCAGGCAGCGTGTGGCCGTTTGAAGACCATAATTCTTGCCAAAGGTGACGAATTTGAACAAATTTAAACTTATTCTAAAATTTTATGCTATTTCCGACATTTTTTTGGTTTCATTCAATAAAATTAAAAAAAAAAAATTATGGCGTTTGACTTTGTGCAGTTTTTTTATCTCACCCTGTATAGTATCAGCTTTCTATAAGACCATAAGCTCTTCTATGAGAGAAGAACTTAAGCTCTTCAATGAGAGAAGACCATAAGCTCTTCAATGAGAGAAGACCTTAAGCTCTTCAATGAGAGAAGACCTTAAGCTCTTCTATGAGAGAAGACTTTCAGCTCTTCTATGAGAGAAGACCTTCAGCTCTTCTATGAGAGAAGACCTTCAGCTCTTTTATGAGAGAAGACCGTCAGCTCTTCTATGAGAGAAGACCGCCAGTTCTTCTATGAGAGAAGACCTTCGGCTCTTCTATGAGAGAAGACCTTCGGCTCTTCTATGAGAGAAGACCTTCGGCTCTCTATGAGAGAAGACCTTCGGCTCTTCTATGAGGGAAGACCGTCAGCTCTTCTATGAGAGAAGACCGTCAGCTCTTCTATGAGAGAAGACCGTCAGCTCTTCTATGAGAGAAGACCGTCAGCTCTTCTTCTATGATAGAAGACCGTCAGCTCTTCTTCTATGAGAGAAGACCGTCAGCTCTTCTTCTATGAGAGAAGACCGTCAGCTCTTCTTCTATGAGAGAAGACCGTCAGCTCTTCTTCTATGAGAGAAGACCGTCAGCTCTTCTTCTATGAAAGAAGACCGTCAGCTCTTCTTCTATGAGAGAAGACATTCAGCTCTTCTATGAGAGAAGACCTTAAGCTCTTCGATGAGAGAAGACCTTCGGCTCTTCTATGAGAGAAGACCTTCGGCTCTTCTATGAGAGAAGACCTTCGGCTCTTCTATGAGAGAAGACCTTCGGCTCTTCTATGAGAGAAGACCTTCGGCTATTCTATGAGAGAAGACCTTCAGCTCTTCTATGAGAGAAGACCTTCAGCTCTACTATGAGGGAAGACCTTAAACTCTTCTATGAGAAGACATTTAGCTCTTCTATGAGAAGACCTTTAGCTCTTCTATGAGAGGAGACCTTCAGCTCTTCTATGAGAGAAGACCTTAAGCTCGAGAAGACCTAAAACTCTTCTCTGAGAATACCAAAAGCTCTTCAGGGAGAAGATCTTAAGCTCTTCTAGGATAAGAACTGCAGCTCTTCTCTGGTAAAATACTCTGATCTTTTCTGAGAAGACATTAAGTTCTTCTATGAGAAGATCTTTACCTCTTCTATGAGAATATTTTAAAAATTTCTCTGATAAAATCCTCTGATCCTCTCTGAAAAGATCTTCTGCTTTTTTCCTAAGAAGACATTCTGCTTTTGTTTGCGAAAAACCCTTTGAGAAGACTTTGTGTTTTTCGAGGAAAACACCTTCAGCTCTTCTCTTCATTTTATCATTATTAAGGCTTGACACCCTATTTCTGAAACAGATTTTAAAACTTAATTTCTTTGCAAAAATTGCAATTCCATTTAGGTTTTTTCTTTAACAATTTATTTCTTAATTTCTCTAAAACCTCCAAATCCAATTTGGACATCGCAGTTACGGAAATGGAGCAAAAAAATATTTTCTTTTGCTGGCTTGACATTGGCCGCAAAGCAATTTCGCACTTCACAAAACATAAATTATGAATTTATACCGCTGTTAAATAACATTAGTGTTGTTTCGCCAATTTCAAGTGGCACCACGAAAAAAAAAAAATACAGTGGAAAATGAATAAAAAATCTGGTTCTCTGGTCTGGTTTTTTCCAAACGGAATTCAAAACACCCCAAAAAGTTGTCTTGCATTTTTTGTTTTCAAATAATTTTAGCTGTCTGTTTTTTTTTCGTTGGTTTTTTAAATTGTGGGTTTAGTAAGTTTTGCGCACGACAACACTTACCATTGTAAATCCAAGTGATGTTTGGATTGGGAGCACCAACAGCACGGCAGGAAATAGTTGCATCTTTACCATCCAAAGCGGTTACATTTTGTGGTGGTACTTCCATGACAGGGGCCGAGGCTATAGGGAGAACACAAAAAAAAGAGAAAACACATACAACAATTAACAATATGAATGGAATTACGGTTCTGTTCTAAAAAAACATGAAAATAAATAACTACAACGAAAATAGTTTGGTTACCAAAAAAAAAAAGTGTTATAAATTTGCATGGGTGGGTGAAGAGGTTGTATAAACAGTGATTTGATGTGATACTAAAAATGTGAGGACTACAATAAAAAAGATGTACATTCATTCACTCATATCCAACAAAACCAATTATCTTTGTTCTAAAACATTTAACTCTAGAATGCAAAAAACAAAAACCAAAAAAACAAAGTTGCAATGAAATGTTTCGAAAAAAAAAGTGCGATAAGTACTGGTTTTCAAATTCAACAACAAAATCGCCCTTAAGGCAGGTTAGACATGTAAAAAAGTGTAGTTGGCTGCCACAATTTGTACAAATTGTGGTAATTGTCTCGTTTACGTTGAAGTATTTGCCGTAGACCACTTTTAAAGCCATTATGGCTTTTATTTCATCAAAGTTGTGGTTGGTGTGGGTTTTAAATTTAACAAAAAATAAAAAAAATTAAAAAAATAAAAAATATAAATAGAATGGTTGTCTACATGTCCAGTGGAGGCCTTTATTGTGTATTGCGAATTAAGATTAGTTTACATATCATGTTTGGGTCATATGTAATGTGATTTTTTCCACATTTTTGTAGCATTTTCATAGCATTACTTTTTCCAGCATAATTTAAGCAAAAGTTACAGTATAAAAATAGTATATGTAGATTACACTGTGGAACATAAAAAATAATTACAGGAAAAATCAAGATTCCCCCACTTCCATTTCTTTCAATTTCAGGATTACTATTCTTTGGAATCCTTAAATTTTAGATATATAGTGTCTTTGGCAACATTTTCACCTCACTAGAGGGGTAGATTTGGTCCTTTTTTTAATGGTTAAAAACTACCTTTAAACGGGATCGTAGCAACTCTATGAAAGCAGAATATGTCGGAAATAGCATCAAATTTTAGATTTGTTCGAATTGGTCCCCTTTGTCAGAACTATTATATCCTTCAAACGGCCATGAAACCGTGAATTTAGTACGTTTCCATTTTTAGCCAAAATCTTCCATAATTTATAATTTTTTGGTGTAAGTGTCAAAGCAGAGCAATATTCTATATCGAATTTCGATGTGAGTATCTGAACAAGAGAAATTTGTAAAATTAACAGGTATCATAAAAAAATTATCATCAATTTCGGTTTTCACGAAACTTTGTTTTATGTTCGAAAAATTTGTCACTTTCCTGAATTCGCTGTCAATTTTCTTATAATTTTACTGTTCAATAGCCAGTCGGGGTTTTAGAAAATGCCAAGCGGATGTGAAAGTACTCGGTTTGTAGAAAAAATTTCAAAATCAAATTTCAAATTGTTTAAGGCTTTTATATAGCCTTGACCATATACAGTGTGAGATGAAAAAACTGCAACCCACTTCAGACTGCTATCATTTCTAAGCCACTCCTCCGACAGCTGTTAAAATTATTCCAGTGGCAGCTCATTATATTGTTTACAAGCGAACAAAAACATTTTAGTGAGAACTTTCCAGAAAAAATGTTATTCGTGATGGAGTTCAAGCGTGATAGTTTTATTTCTGTATTTTTGGCTGGAAAACCACAAGTGGCTATTGTTAGAGCACTCCAGCATTTAAATGTGAATAAATCTTTTGTGTCACGTACCATCGCTCGTTACCGTGATACTGATAGCGTAGCCCGACGTCAAAGAAGTGGACGGAAGAAAACAGCAACATCAGCAGAAATGGTTCGAAAAGTAAAGAAGCGACTTGATCGAAAACCGCGTCGCAGTGGCCGAAAAATGGCTCGTGAGCTGAACATATCGCAATATTCCATTCGGCAAATATTGAAAAATTAGCTCGGGGTAAAGCCATTGAAATTCCAAAAAGTGCAAGAACTTACACCGCAACAGAAAGAAAATAGACTCAAAAGTGTGGTGAACTGCCGAATTTGGGTTTCTTCGATGAGAAAACATTCGTTGTCCAGCAGTTTGTAAACGAACAAAATTATCGTGTTTACTTGCCAAAGAGGTCAGCTGAAAATGTGCACCTTCGGTTGGCAATCAGAAATCAAGCGCCGGCCATGGTAATGGCGTGGGCCGCCATAACATCCGTTTTTCTCCCCTTAACACACATCCTCTGTTACCAAATACCTCAGCGTTCTAACTACTAACTTCTTCCTCACTTTCCTCACTCAGTCCGTTTTTAACCAAAATAAAATTTTAAACTCGCATAGACACTGACTATTTCGTCAAACTGCAACAACTACAAAACTTCAACAAAAAATATTTAAAAAAAAAAAAAAATAATAAAATATTTGACCGCCCATTAAAAACTAATTAACAATGCCCGAAGTCGTATTGACATCCATACCGCCATTGGAAATAACACCGGATAATTCCAGTGAAAATGAAACACCCACATCTTCATCGTCAGATACGACAAGAAGTAACGACGATCCGGCGTCGGCATCTTCAGCTGACATTCAAGTTCAACGAAGTTCTCTAGTGAAAAATCACAAGAATGGAAGGCCAAGCATTGGCAGTAGCCAGATGAAAAATAAATATCGCAAATCGATTCCGAAACGTTTGTCGAAAAAGTCGGCTGGAGTAGGGGTCACGTAAGTATATCAAATAACAATTCTTGATTATGCCTTGGTGTGTCCTAAAAAAGTATCCATTGGAAATGAATGGAAATATTGAAATCCATGCCTTAAAAGAAAATTTTCACTGTCACTGAGTTCCGATTTACACAAGGAGCCCTATGAGTCGACTCCAGTTTTTTTGTTGAAAGAAGGAAATTAAGGAAATTAACTTCTTAAATAGAAGTCGGTCTTGCAGAGAAAATTAAGAGAAGATCTGATCAATAGAAGTTGTACAGATCTTCCCAATAACTTATCCAAAGATTATCCTGAAGGAAATTTATTGATGTGAAGTTGCGAAGGTATTGTGAAAAAATTGGGGTAAGTGAGGGGAAAAATGTTCCATTGGAAAAACTTCTTAAAAGAAGTAGGTCTTGTGTTGTACAGATCTTCCCAATTGATTATCCAAAGATTATTCTATAGGAAATTGATTGATGTGAAGTTGCGAAGGCTTGTGAAAAAGGTCTTCAGTTTGTGTCGTCTTGGAAAACCATTTTCCTATAGGAGAACTCTCAGAGAATTCTTAACGATCTTAAAATCTACAGATGGAAAAACTCCGATTACCCCCTAAAAACCGAAGATCTCCCTGGGGAAACTTGCAATGCCTTCCTACAGAGAAGATTTACAGAGTTCTTTTATTAGGAAATCAACAGATCTTCTAATGCATATCGTAGATGATCTGTACATTTTCTATCAGACGCTCGATAGAAAATCTTAAGATATAAGTTTCCCCCCCCAAAAAGATTTACAGATTTTCCATAAGCTGATCCAGAGATTTTCTATATGATATACCGAAATTCTATAGCAGATCTTCTGTAAACAGATCTGCACATCTCCCTTGATAACATCTGTAGATTTTATGTGAGCGGACTTTTATATATATTCTATGAGAAGATTGACAAAATTTAGTCATCAGATCAGGTGATCTATCTATCTGAAGATCAAAGATCTTAAAGGAGAATTAAAATGTTTGTGGTAGATCAGAATATTTCTGTGTAAGGTGTGAAAGGAGGAGGTGTGAAATAAATCTATGGATTTTCTAGAAGATCAACTGATCTTAAAGAAAAGAAGATTAGATTTAGATTTCTAAAAGAAGATATACTTATTTTCTGAAAGAAGAACAACTTATCTTCTAAACGAATATCAGCGAGAAGGTCAAAGAAGATCTAAGGGAGAAGGTCAAAGAAGATCTAAGAGAGATCTAAGAGAAGATCTAAGAGCGTCTAAGAGTACTCGAAAAATATGAGTTCCACCAGAAGTTTACGCTCTCCGCTCTTTGGTTTTATATGAGAGCGCTCTCAAGTACTACTGTTGGGCCAATACGAGTGGTAGTCAAGATGTTCGAAATAGAGAAGAGAAATGGGTAAGTGATATCTAGTGGGAACATATATTTTCTGAATTAGGGCCGTGGACTGGGGCAAGATCGTGTGCAAAGGCAAGGGAGGGTAAAAACCATCATAATATGGTGGGATTTGTGTGCTAAAACCACAAATGCAAGCACTCAACAAAGTTCCTAGAGAGAGAGAAAGAGAGAGAGAGCGAGTGAAAGAGAGATAAAAGTGGAATTCGCATTTCGGAAATCTGTTTTTTTAGGAATTCAGAACGTAATAAGAGAAAATTTTAATTTTTCGTTACACCCTATTATAAAAATTTGAAAAAAAAAGAAAAATATTTTTATTTTTATTTTCCAAATTTCTAATGTCATTATTGTACTTTTTTATTTCTTTGATGAAGTTTCTGTGAGACAATTTTTTGTAATTGTTTAAAAAAATGTCATTCATACTTCAAATTTGCTCTGTTCTGTTTCGCGATTAAGTGTTTTCAAATTTTCTCATTGCAAAAGTAAAATCGTTCACTTTTTTATTGTCCAGCAACAGTTCACAGCCCAAGAAATCTGTAAATAAATCACAAATACCAAGATCTCTGTTATTAACACCCTCGTCTTCGTGCAAATCGTTAAATTCGTCGGTGAGCTTCCAGTCCTCAAAAGAACGTGGCTCAATAACTACCCAGGAAGAAACTCTCACCACCGCTGTTTTGAAACGTCAAAAGACCGGTATTATTTTGGCATATCGTCAACGGAAATCAATATCTCAAATGGATATGAAGCATATGTGCCGTAACCAAGAGCATGAGTTACATGGAAAGTCCTTGGTGGCCAAGGGGAATGGTGTTGCGGCGATGCACCACCACCATAATCCCTATTATATTTCCCACCAAGAGACCTCATCCATAGTTCAGAAAATATATGGTTATGGCCAACATTTCTCGGGTAATAGCTCTCAGCTTGAATCTCAAACAGCAGGTTTGAGAATTTTCTCAATAATCATGTTAAATGCCTGGCGTAAACGAAGAGCGGAAGTTAAGCGACTGCAGGAAGAAGTTACGGAATTGAAGCGTTGTGTGAGTTGTACTGGAGGTCTTTAGAAGTTCCTCATTTTTTAAATATTTCATCCGACAGGCAATTAAGGCTCGCAATCAATTGCATGTTTTCAACTCGCTCTTTCGCATGGAGCAAAAACGTAACGATGAACTCAGCTGCCAACTGAAACGTTCTCTCGAGGACATAACCAATGCCAAGTCATCGTGTGAAATTTTAACCACTTCCCTGATAAGCCTTGGGGCCGACAAGGAATTGCTGCAACAACAAATCGAGGTCAAGGATCAGGAAATAGAAAATCTAAATTCGTTAATATCACAAGCCAATACGAATTTGTTTAAAGTCATGACTGAACAGCGAGAGCTCCAGGCAAATTTCTCAATGGAGCAGAGGAAAGTTCAATCTCTGGAAAATGAGAAGAATGAGCTTATCAATAAGGTAATCATGGATTGGTGGGGGAGGTCTCTGAGTTATATTTTCAATATACTTTTTTTTACTAGATCTATAAACTGGACTATGAACTGTGTATGCTTGAAGCCAAACTGAAATTAAAGACAGATGAGCTCAATAACAGCTCAAAACAGCTGGATGAGTTCAAGCGCATTAATGAGTAAGGGTTTTGAAAATATTTTTAGTAAAGTTTTCTAATTTTACATCCTTCCAGCTACAATGAACAACTGTTGTCCAAGGCTAATGGCAAGGAGCAAGCCCTGAACGAAGAAATCCAAAAGCTACAAAAACAAATCTCCCTTCTGGAGGAAGGCCTTAACAAATCTTGGGGTAGTCGTTTCAAATGTTTCTTCTATCGATCTCTAACTTATCCAAGGACTACGCTGCATATTCTACATTGGTTCATATATTATCTGCTGCCAGCAACGCCTCCTCCTAAGTTGCACACCTTCCCATTTCTTGGCTTCTCCACGGCCAAGGTTCTCAATATTGTCCGTCATCAGTAGGAACTTTGTTTGAGTCTCTAGTTGCTTTGTTTTATGTTTTTCTAGTATTTATTTTTCTTGTGAATATTTTGTAGCCATTTTTTAAATAAAAAAACTCAATGAAAATTAATGAATTGCGATTATTAAAAATATTAAAAACAAAATGAAAACGAAAAAAAAAAAACCGTAAATTTCGGGCGGGTCGAACTTGAAAATACTATCCACCATGAGGAGGAAAAAGTTAAGGTTTGAAAGTCTCCATATGCAGATTGGAGAATGCCTTTTAGTCTTCTATAAGAGACCAGAAGGTCTTCTACTGATAGAAGACCTTCCAGTCTTCTATTAGAAGACCTTCCAGTCTTCTATTAGAAGACCTTCCAGTCTTCTATTAGAAGACCTTCCAGTCTTCTATTAGAAGACCTTCCAGTCTTCTATTAGAAGACCTTCCAGTCTTCTATTAGAAGACCTTCCAGTCTTCTATTAGAAGACCTTCCAGTCTTCTATTAGAAGACCTTCCAGTCTTCTATTAGAAGACCTTCCAGTCTTCTATTAGAAGACCTTCCAGTCTTCTATTAGAAGACCTTCCTGTCTTCTATTAGGAGACCTTCCTGTCTTCTATGAGAAGACCTTCCTGTCTTCTATGAGAAGACCTTCCTGTCTTCTATGAGAAGACCTTCCTGTCTTCTATGAGAAGACCTTCCTGTCTTCTATGAGAAGACCTTCCTGTCTTCTATGAGAAGACCTTCCTGTCTTCTATGAGAAGACCTTCCAGTCTTCTATGAGAAGCCCTTCCACTCTTCTATGAGAAGACCTCCCAGTCATCTATGAGAAGACCTTCCAGTCTTCTATGAGAAGACCTTTCAGTCTTCTATGAGAAGACCTTCCAGTCTTCTATGAGAAGACCTTCCAGTTTTCTATGAGAAGACCTTCCAGTCTTCTATGAGAAGACCTTCCAGTCTTCTATGAGAAGACCTTCCAGTCTTCTATGAGAAGACCTTCTGGTCTTCTATACGAAGACCTTCTGGTCTTCTATACGAAGACCTTCTGGTCTTCTATACGAAGACCTTCTGGTCTTCACGCTGACCTTCTGGTCTTCTATACGAAGACCTTCTGGTCTTCTATAAGAAGACCTTCCGCTCTTCTATTAGAAGACCTTTTCGTCTTCTATAAGAAGAACTTTCAGTTTTCTATGAGAAGACCTTCCAGTCTTCGATTAGAAGACCTTCCAGTCTTCTATTAGAGGACCTTCCAGTCTTCTATTAGAAGACCTTCCAGTTTTCTATTAGAAGACCTTCCAGTCTTCTAAGACTGGAAGACCTTCCTGTCTTCTATTAGGAGACCTTCCTGTCTTCTATTAGGAGACCTTCCTGTCTTCTATTGGGAGACCTTCCTGTCTTCTATTAGGAGACCTTCCTGTCTTCTATGAGAAGACCTTCTGGTCTTCTATGAGAAGCCCTTCCACTCTTCTATGAGAAGACCTCCCAGTCTTCTATGAGAAGACCTTCCAGTCTTCTATGAGAAGACCTTCAAGTCTTCTATGAGAAGACCTTTCAGTCTTCTATGAGAAGACCTTCCATTCTTCTATGAGAAGACCTTCCAGTCTTCTATGAGAAGACCTTCCAGTATTCGATTAGAAGACCTTCCAGTCTTCGATTAGAAGGCCATCCAGTCTTCGATTAGAAGACCTTCCAGTCTTCGATTAGAAGGCCATCCAGTCTTCGATTAGAAGACCTTCCAGTCTTCTATGAGAAGACCTTCCGCTCATCTAAAAGAAGACCTTCCGCTCATCTAAAAGAAGACCTTCCGGTCTTCTATGAGAAGACCTTCTGTTCTTCTAAAAGAAAACCTTCTGGTCTTCTATAAGAAGACTTTCCGCTCTTCTATGAGAAGACCTTCCGCTCATCTAAAAGAAGACCTTCCGGTCTTCTATGAGAAGACCTTCTGTTCTTCTAAAAGAAGACCTTCTGGTCTTCTATAAGAAATCCTTTTGGTCTTCTGTAGGAAGGCCCCTTCTGGGCTTCTACAAGAAAACCCTCTCATATAGAATGGATGACAGCGATACAATTCTTTATATTTTCAATTGTCCCCTTAAAAAATATTTCCACAACTCGATCTACAATTGTCCACCATGAAATTAAATATTTTTCATATCCCTCTCTTTTTACCAAAACTACAAGAAACTCTGGGAAATAATGACATTTGTCCTTTGGACCAATTTGCAGAACTTTAATATCCTCTCAGCGCAGATAAGAAATATACAAATTCTATAGTTTTGTTTTATGTCATTGTTATTAAATTCCAAACTGTGCTGTTTTGAAGACGCAAAGAGAGAGAGGGAGAGAAAGAGAGACCATGGACCAACCAACCCAGTATCAGGGCAAAAAGTACAAAAACATAACAGCAAAACCAAAATACAAAACTGGTGATTTGTTTAGCTAAATGTTGAAAAAGTACACCATTTGTCATGGTATTGTTTATCAGAAAGGACAACGTCGAAACTAGAAACAACAAATTTCAATTCAATTGAATACAATCTGTGCGGAGCAACATCAAGAAGAAGAAGCAGAACTACCACAGCGACAATAGAAATATGTTATTCAAAAATATACAAAAGAAATATTTTTGCTTTGAGTTGTCAACGAAGAAAAAATAAAACAAGCTGGAGTAAAATGCATTTGATTATAATTCTTCTTCTTCTTCTTCATCTTTGTCTATTTGGACAATAATCTTTGTATCGGCATCTCTGGAATTTTTGTTTTCCGTTTTTTTTTTGGCAAATGTTGGAAATTCTTTGAAAACTTAAATGTAATGGCATAAATTACATTAAGAGAAGAGATTTAACAGAAAGTGCTTTATGAGGAAATATTTTACATGCAATTTAAAATACTTGAAGCATAGATGGCGCAACGAAGTAGTTTTTAATAAATAAAATCAGGAACTATATTCATCATTTATTGCAAGTAGGGTTTCTATATAAAAAGACAGGTGTATTCCCTCAACCTATGTTCGATTATTTTAATATATCTTAACTTCTGTTATGATTATTCAAATTTTTGACCCCATATGGAGTAGGTTCCGAAGGAATGGGCCAATGTTGATCATTTCGTATCGGACCTCAATTAATATAATATAAATATTGCAACGTGCCAGGTTTGGATTATATCGGAAATTTCACTTTACATGAGATTTTTACAAAATTTTAGAAAATGTTAAAATGTACTTGTTCTTCCAGAGACAGGGTGAGATGAAAAATCTGCAATCAACTTCAGACTAATGTAATTTCTAAGCCACCTGTCCGACAGCTGTTAAAATTATTCCAGTGACAGCTCGTTATATTGTTTACAAGCATACAAAAGCATTTTGGTAAGACTTTTCCAGAAAAAAAAGTTATTCGTGATGAAATTCAAGCGTGATAGTGTGATTTCTTTATATTTGGCTGGAAAACCACAAGTGGCTATCGCTAGAGCACTTCAGCCTTTAAATGTGAATAAATCTTTTGTGTCTCGTGACATCGCTCGTAACCGCGATAGGAAGGAAGTGGACGGAAGAAAGCAGCAACATCAGCAGATATGGTTCGAAAAGTATAGAAGCGACTTGATCGAAACTCGCGTCGCAGTAGCCGAAAAATGGCTCATGAGCTCAACATATCGCAATATTTCATTCGGCAAATATTGAAAAATGAGCTGGAGTAAAGCCAATGAAATTCCAAAAAGTGCAAGAACTTACACAGCAACAGGAAGAAAATAGACTCAAAAGGGCTAAGGAGTAGCTTCCCCTGGTCGAAAGTGGTGAACTTCCGAATTTCGGTTTTCTCCGTCTCCGATGAGAAAACATTCGTTGTCCAGCAGTTTGTAAACAAACAAAGTGATCGTGTTTACTTGTCAAAGAGGTCAGCTGAAAATGTGCACCTTCGGTTGGCCACCAGAACACAAGCGCCGGCCATGGTGACGGTGTGGGGGCCGCCATAACAAGCGATGGTCGCCCTCCGCTCGTATTAATCGACCGTGACATCAGAATAAATGGCGAATATTAATGCGAAAATATTCTGGAGGGTGTATTAAAGCCTTGGGCACGCAAATATTTTGGCCGCAGACCTTGGATATTCCAACAGGACTCAGCACCGGCGT